AATACAAAGAAAAAGTCGATAAATTTTTTGAATTTTTTTTGAAAATCCCACACATTACGAGGCCAAACTGTGCACTGGATATGCGCACAATTTTGTGTTTGTATCTTCCTGGATTCCAGAGACAAATCTTGAAACATGTTGAAATTTTGTCGGAACGATCAAAGGAAAGTAAAGAACAAAAGAAGAACAAAGGGAGCGTCCTTGTTGCCGAATCCGCTTACAATGCACAAAATGCACAATTTGGCCTCGTAATGCACCCTCAAGAAAATTCTAGATCGGCTCCTTAAACTGAAAAATTTGAAGTCTTTATCTTTTTGCTCCCCAGCAGCCATACAATAACAAGACCAATTATTTTGCTTCATATCAAATTTGGATAATTTGCCTTGCATAGATAATTCGCAACTCAAAAAAAATCTGGGTCGGATCCGAAAACGAGCTTTTTTTCTTGTCTCACCCCAGCCATCGGAACTTTAAGTGCAAACAATCTTTTTTGTTTAGCATATTGGTACAGTGCTGGCTTAATTTATTTGAGTTTTTCGGAGTAAACGCGTAAAACTAGTTTTAAAATGAGTTTTCAGAAACTATAAAAATTAGGATTGCTTGATTTGTGCAACTTGAGCCACTTTTATCAGACTTTTATTCTCTTCTTACTAATCAGAGATCGGCCTTATAGCATGGGTGTTGTTAAGCTTGCCCAGGTAGAAAAAATGTTGAGTCACTTAGCTTAGTGGAAAGACATTCACTTAAAGATCGTCAGATCGTGAATTCGATCCCCTGCTATAGCAAAGATAGTGTGTGAAGACGAGCTATCGCTTGACCTCTAGCTTCACGTCTACCTACCACAGCCTGGCCGATATCGGTTACAATAATGGTATCAAGTTCAAGTGAAACTTCCGGACGCAATGAAACGGCCTCGATTTGAAAGAACGTCCATTGGTCAAAAAATAACTCGGGCTTGAATGAAGGGAAAAAGAGAAACTGACAGTAGAAATGCGAAGAGACGTCTTCTTTAAGCACGTTTTCACTATCCTCAACGACCATAGTTTCTTTCCATTATAACATGCTATAGCGGGGGACTAATTCAAGATATTATTCTACAATACGAAAAAATTATGCTGATGGTCAGATTTTAGCTTGCTATGACCAAAACGTTTTGCAGCTTCCACCGTGTTTTGCTCTTTTCAGGTCTCTTCTGGTGTTTTCAGCTAGTGCATCAAACTGTGAGCGCAATAAGTTAATTTTTTAGCAGTCGCAGGGCAAGTAAAAGTAATTATCAAGGCCCCTAATGAGGTTAATGCTATTAACCTACTTCTATAACGAACCCAGCTTGCTTTTCATTCCGTTCGCGCTTGGATCACTTCAAACTCGCAAACTCGAACAACTTTATCCACTCACGCAACTAATTCAACCCAAAACTAAACTCGGGTTCAAATATCCTAAGCTACTAGGAGACACAACTAGCCTAGCTTTAAGCAATAGCGTCCTCGACGGACCAGCTACCCTTCTTGGCTTGCTCAAATGTTCTCTCCAACTTTGAGAACTCACTAATCGACCCAATAGCAATGATTGTTCTATTTGTTGGAGGTTCTCCGGTACCCTCCAGTTCCCTATCTTTATTTACATTTGGATTTGATTAAAGTCACCTATTCCCTATCAGTCGTAGCATCCGCTTAATTCACCCCTGCGCAGATGCAGATGTTCTATAATTTCAACCCTCCCCCTGTCAACACTGACAAGTGCCGCGGTCGGTTTTTTTAATCGATTTTGTCATGTTTTTAAGGTTCGGGTATGCGCTAGGTGCTACAAATTGATCCAAGCAAACAAATCGCAAACGATTCTAATCGAGAATTCACTTTCTGATCTGAGCAAACTCTGGCCTTCTAGTTCAATTTAACCTCCAAACCAAGCTGTGCTTCCTCTGTTTTTTTTATCCGGAAAAAGTTCCGGCCTCCTGGTTCTAGGGGAAGACCTTTTTCATGGGTAGCTAATTTGTTTTCAGCATCGAAAGTTCCCGACTATACTCTATTCCAAACCCGATTTTCTAGCTATCAAGGTGAAGTAGTTTGTTTATTAGGAGTCTAACTCGGCCAAAAGTTCATCTCCGAGGAGCCCAAAGAATTTCCTGTCCAACCACCTTATTTAGGAGACTTCCTTCCATGCCGCGCTCCTATTACCGACAGTTTGCTCTGGGACTAGCCTTCTTTGATTTAGTTGAATTTTTTTTATAAACGCTCAGATATCTTAGCTAAGTTCAACCCATTGTTTGCCTTGTTTCACTCTAAAGCAACCCCATACCTCAACGTTGCAACGTGAAAGCTATATCATTTTAACTCTGATTCCTTTTTCAAGGGAAAAACTTACCCAAAATCACAATTATGGTGATGTTTTTTATCTAAAGGGTTAAGGCTTGCGAACTGGAAAATATGCCCTCGCTCATATTTTCCGTAAGTTGCATATTTCCGGGGAAAGGGATGTTTCCCAAAATGCTAATAACTTCCGGTCCAACGGTCGCGTTTGGTTAAAACTTCAATACACGATTTATTTTGTCACTACCTATCTTGTCCCGAAGTTTCCTCTACTTGCGTTCAGTGGGACCCGAGAAACGACTTCCGCAAATCCGGATGAGGACTGTTTGCTTAGGGAATATTACCAGAAGTAGATGTCTGGTTTTCAAAACGTAAGCTTTACTCAACTAAGTCTATAACATACTGAATTTTGGGGCCGTTCCGTCCGCTAGTTGCCCAGTCTTTATAGGACTGTTTACAAAACCGGGAACCATTATCACTTGCCCAAGGGGTCTGGGTTTTTGCATGCCCGGCTCGAATCATCTCTAGTATCCTTCCTTTTTCGTAGTTCCGATTCGTGGGAAGAGGGTTATCAGATTTTTTATTTGAGTTTTTAGCCATAGGAGGGACTGATTTTTAAAATATAGAAAAAATAAACTATTTTGAGCTTGATCTTTTGTTTAATTTTCTTTTCTATCGTTTTGACTAAACAATTTTAGGCTTAGAACACTGGGGCATGTAATACAGTAGAAACACTAACTCTACACGGTCTATGCTTAGAAAAGCTGGAAAGTTTTCAATTTATCCTCTGCAAATCGTAGAAAACACAACTGTTAGTTTGAAGACTCGCTCTTTCACTCAAACTTGTGATTTTTTTATCAGCGTGTAATTTTGTTTTTTTTCCCCAACAAAGCGATTTTTTTTTTGAAATTGTGTGAAAGTTTAAAGCACTTATAGCATGCTAGAAGGCACACATGCTAATTGCTACGCCCTATTTTTTTCTGATTCCTTCAACTATTTCGGTTCTCCTAACTTTTTCCAGTCGTTGACCGTCGTTGGGGAGCATTTATATTTTGGATCCCTCCAGCTACCCGCCATTGCAATGAGGGGAATTATTTTCTGTGTGCAAAACCGAATAAGCATAAGCCTTGAATTAGTTCTTCGGGGAGGGGGAGGAGGGGAGATGGTTGTTCTCTCTTTTGTCCATAATTGTAGTTTCAATTGCCTGTACACTCAATTGTTAGGCCCGTTCTTTAAATTGTCTCAACTTAATTGATTTGAAGCTTACTTCTTTACTGAGGTTCACCTAGAAAGCTCTGTGCTTATTTATTATATTTATTCATGGGGGGATTGTTAAGTATATACCATAGGGAGGGGGGGGGGGGGGGAGATTGTTAAAAAGATTCCGAAAATTGCTTAATACGTTGGTAGGGCTATGATTCACTAGTTCTCGTTCCGTTCTTATGTTTTTTTTCCAAAGATAACTATGAATGAATTATATGTGCTAATTGCAAAGCAACCAGCCAAAATTTTAACTAGACTGAACTCAGGTTGGCTAATGTAAGTTGTCGGCCAATCGATCTTTCGGCCATGAAGGTCATTTCCTCCCGCTGTTTAGACTATTGTGAGTGAGTGACAGCTACAAAAGTGAGAGAATGATGGAGGAAAAAGTGACAGTTGAGAAGTTGCGTGAGGAGGTGGAGTCACTGCGGGAAAAGATACTGCTCCAGAGGAAGGAGATGTGCGACGCCACTCTGCAGGATTGTAGGGGGGGGGGGGGGGTATTCTCATGCGCAAAGGGCCGAATACGCAAAGGGCCGAAAATTGTAAACCAATCAATGTCCTGTAACATATGCCCAAAATTGACTCAATTTATCGCTTATTTCCTCCGAATTTATGAATACAGAATTCTGATGCGTCGGCTGAAAAAATATGTGGGCGTTCGTCCTTCGCACAAGAGATATGCTCCCGGATTGTTGCTTGCAACTAACCTTACTAAAATAATTGTGGATTCTGCAATTCGCAGAGGATCTATGAAAAGCTATCCAGCCTGTCTAAGCATAGTCTGTTTCTCTTATTTCCCCACCTTCCCGGCTGAGTTATTTTAATGAGCGAAGCTCTTTTTTTGCGACAAAAGGCCATTTTTTGTGTCTAGAATTTACACATGGAACCTCTGCTGCAGCCGAAATTGGTCAGGCTTTGGTAGACCTGAAGCTAGAGGTCAAGTGAGAGCTCGGCCTCACGCACTAAAAAATCTTATAACCTTTTACCCTCTAGTCTTGAATTTACATACCTTTAATGAACTAATTCGACTCTTAAGCATATGCGAATTTGGTAAACAGATTCGAAATTTGAAAAAATGGCACTCAATGCTGATTGGTCAGTCTACTCATAAATTCAGACACTTTGGATCAAGTTGACATCCTCCTCCATAAACATACCAAGCTAAGATCTGCCACGCCATTATTTTATTTGGTTCAAAATTGCAATCAGATTTGCGTTCGATTTTTATTGGCGGTTATTTCCAAAACTAGATCCAAAAAGTTCCTTCCTCCTAAACGTTTTTTTTTGCGCGGTTTGGGACTATTTTGGTTCGAACAAACTGTTTCTGAGAATGATTAGTTGAAAAGCCTTGATTGGTCAAATTTTCTTCTCATTTGAATCAAAAATAATTTCATTAAGCTGTAATTAATTAATTTATTTATTTCGGCCAAACTTTTGTCGGGTAAGTGAATGTTCGGGTTAGTTGAGCAACACCCTCTGCAGGATGTGACCTCTTCTGTCAATCCTCTCCACCGGATTCAGTTCAAGGCCAAGCGAACTCTCAAGGGTAAGAAAATGACCCATATAGGACACTCACTATAACCATACATAACCATATGATCGTCTCAAAGAGCCGAAGAAAGTTAGAAAAAAGTGTCAAAATGTGAAAATCCGTCGCTTTCGTTTTCGGCGTTTGGAACCATCGAAGGTGTTTATGCTTATTTCAATTAAAGTTCATTTGCTAAAAGATTCGCAAATTGCGCTTTCCAATTACGGAAGCGAAAATGGCGTGAAAAATTAACATGATCGATTTCTAGCTTCGACAGAATTACCAGCGGAATAAAAAAAACCCCTTGATCCAGTTTTCTGAATTGGGGGTTAATTTTATAAGAAAAAAAATCAATCATGAACAGTTGATATTTAAAGAGTTTTAACTTTATACACTTTTTTTCGAAAGTTGAAAGTTCAATCAACTTTTTTTAAATTTCCTTTTTATTTTACACTTTCCAATCTTCTGTTTGCTATGTTTATTCAAAGTGTTTGAGCAATTGCAGATTTTGTGTATAAGGACACATATGATAGCCCATAATATAAGCAAATTATCATTCAACCATGATGAGTGGACCACAATTGAGCAGACTGAAACTTGAATCGCGAAACTGCACGTGCTCGTCTTTGTAATAGTTAGAACATAGTTGAAAGATGCCCGAGGGAAAAAGAGTCCAGCCTGAGGGCACGAAGTGCCCGGGTGCGGCTCTTTTGCCCAAGGTCGTCTTCAACTATGTTCTTACTGTTGAAGAGTATGTTTTGATGAGGGAAAGATGCGAGAAAAGTGTGAAAGAGCCCGGAAAGTTCTGAAAGAGCCCGGAAAAGTGCGCGAAACTATGCAAATGATTTCTTTTTTCATTCATGCGTTCTAATATTTCATTTTTCATTCATGCCTGGTCGTGAACGAACATGTGTGAAAGAGCAAAAAGATACTCTTCAAAAGTATAGAAATAGGTCGAACACAAACATCTCGGCCCGGGAAAAAAGAGTCACTTCTCTTTCAGGCCACCTGTCCAAAGTGTTCAGCTGTGGGTGGGCGAAGGACTCGAAGCACCTGGTGAGTGCCTCGCAAGATGGCAAACTGATGGTGTGGGATGCCCACTCCACCCACAAAGTCCATGCCATCCCCATGAAGAGTGCCTGGGTCATGTCCTGCTGCTTCTCCCAGAAGACGCCCAGATTCGTCGCCAGTGGGGGTAAGGCGACTTAGTAATGCTTCTTTTTAACACTAGCAGAATCGCAGCTTCTGTTATGAACCTCTTTTTCAACTTCTGTTATTGATGTCTCTGATTAAGACTAGCCGAACTTGGCTCTTTTCCAGTTCCCCCCCCCCCCTTTCAAAATACCGAGTTTTATGATTGTTTTACGTGTTATTACGGCTAAATGCGTGATGTTACGCTGTAAAGTATGAAGAAAAAATCTGTTCAGAATTGTCGATTTGTTCACTACGCCAAATTTCATTGCATTGTGACAACGTTAAATAGACTTTTCAAAATTGAATTTGAAAGGGGGGGGGGAAACTGGAAAAGAGCCCCGAACTTGAATTCCATCATCCATAGGTTTAATAATAACAGTTAATTAGTCTTCGAAAGATTCAATTGATATTTGTATCTCAATTCATTTGAGTTCACTTGAGAGAACATCAAAAAGGCATTTCTGCCTGGAGAGTGATGTCTCTTAGACGATTCTTCACGCGTTCGGTTTTGAAAAAAAACATAGAAAGATTCATACTATTTTTTTCAAAATCAAACGAAAAAAAAATACAATCCATGGTTGAGTTGAAATTGGTACAAAAGAAAAACAAGAAAAAATTAAAGAGAACATTTATTTTTGTTCGAACAAAGTGTGGAATATTTATGTATAGGGTGGTTTTTTTATTCAGTGAATTTTCGACTTTTTTTAAGCTTTTGACAGAATTTCTTACACCCTCTGAAATATATCGTTTTTGGAGCTTCATTATTACACTAGCAAATATTAATGAGCGTTAAGTGTTATGCTACGACTATTTTTTTTTCTAACCTAAGTCGCAAATTTTGGTGCCAGTTTTGGGGCACCCTTACGGCTTTTATGATAGCATGTTCTTTGAAATTCGAATAGTAATAAGTTTGGTAATTAAATAACAATTTGGTAATTCTGGGCCGTATATTAGAAAAAAAAGACTTTTTGTGTGGATTGGGTTGCAGGTCTGGACAACGCGTGCACAGTGTATGCACTACAGGCGCGGAAGGACAACGTGTACACTTCGCAGGAGTTCAGTGCCCACTCAGGCTACGTCGCCTGCTGCAGATTCATAGACGACAACGACATCCTCACTGCATCCGGCGACACCACTGCCATTCTCTGGGATGTATCCACGGGTTAGACAACAACTCCACCCCCCCCCCCCCCTTAGCATGGATATAGGGTGGGTGATGAAGTGGCTTCTGATTCCTTCTTCTTCTTTGAATTGATAGGTAGTTTTGGTTTGAGGTTTATCAAGGTCTTTGTTCATTGATTTACTAAAGACAACAAGTTCTCACAAGTTCAAATGTAAATATACATTCAGAAAGGGCGTCGATTGTTCTGATTTCACAAAAAAGATCGTGTTATAACAAAGATAAAATTAAATATACGTTGTAAGTGCTACTCATCAAAGAAGCGTTTTATGACACGTACATTTACCTTGCCAAAAAACTGAGATTTCGTTACTAGGTAGCAAGGAGGATAGTTAAAGATATCTTTTTTTTCTATTTTAATTGTCAAGTTGGAGTTTCTGCGATTCGCACAGTATCTATGAAAGGCTAAACCATGTCCGTTTCTCTTGATTCACCACATTCCAGACTGGGTTGTGTTTTTTTGAGGTTAAGCTCACGGCCGTTTTTTTGCGTCTAAAACTTTCACGTGATGCCACTATTGCACCCCTAATCGGTCAGGCTGTGGTAGACCTGCAGCTAGAGGTCACATAAGAGCTCGTCGTCGCATACTATGATTGCTGTGACAGGGGATCGATTATACGAACTGACGATCTCGAAGTGAACGCCTAACCACTATGCTAATTGCCTGTTTAGGCAAGATGAAGACAGTGTACCATGGCCATTGTGAAGGGGTGATGTCCATCTCAGTGGCCCCTGACAAGCGCACCTTCATTACTGGGGCTTGTGACGCCACTGTGCGACTCTGGGACATCAGAGACGGACTCTGCAGACAGAGCTTCGCCGGCACTGATTTAGGTGAGCATAAGCATAACAACTGCACATGTAGTGTATAGATGAAAGCTGGAATAAGTCGCATTTGAAGTTTTTTTTAGGCCAACCAAATTTTCCTAGCGCTTCCAAAACACTAAGAATACAATGTTTCGACCAACATTTTTGCGCCGCATGCAAATTTTTGAAAAAAAAAACAGGTCAAAAATGTCGCTCTTGGGCATTTTTTCTAGAAAACTTTGACCAAAAAATCAAGTTTTTTTTTGGCGCGCGAACCCCTTCAAAATTAGTATATACTGGCGCCGAAGGCACCCTTAGAAAAATTGTAGGGTTGGTCGGCAGAAAATGGATGTCATAAAATAATACCGAAGGGATAACCCTTGAGTTGGTGAGGGGGTCTAATCCCTGAAGGGAGTACCCTCCACCACCTAATTTCGCCCCTGCATACAGTGTTTTGAATGTATGGGAAACTGTATGGCTGGAAATTTTTTCGTCAACTCGGTATAATGTAATTTTGTGTAGACGTGAACGTGGTGGTGTTCCACCCTACAAATTTGTCGTTCGCTTGTCTCGCCGACATGGAGGACGAGGACGAGGGAGAGGGGGGCGGGGCACATCAGGGCGCAGACAGCTGCATGTGTCTATTCGACCTCAGATCCGACAACAAAATTGGTACAAACTGAGTGTTGGCAAGCCGTATATAGTGTACATGTCACGAAGTATAATCCTCTCACGTATAATTTCGGCTAGCTTAGCCGAGTTCATGGCTAGTTAATGGCTAGTTAGTGAACTTTGTTCGACTTCACTTATTACCTACTTGAAATCAGGGCTTGATCGGATCGGAACTTCGCCCAACAGAGATGTAGCAGAAAAGTCTCAAGAGGAATATTTCATCTACTCTAGTCGAATGGATATTTTTTTTCTTGATTCTTGAACTATCCGCTATACATTATACATCTCAGGGGCGGATCTAATTTTTTCTCGAAGGGGGGCTGGATTTTTAAGTCGACCAAATTGATTTTCCGAGCTAAAAAGACATTGTTTTGGCCATACTTTCTGCGCCGCAGGCAAAACTTTGAAAAACCGTTTTTGGGCACTTTTGGAATATTTTGACCAAAAAAATCGCGTTTTTTCGGCGCGTGCTTCTCCCTCAAAATAAGTAGGAAAAATTTTAGGGTCCATCACCAAAAATGGATATCTCAAAATAGTACAAAGGGGAATCGGAAAATGTCATACGAGTTTTCTTCTCTTTTTCACGTTATGCTAAGTTACCATCATCCCTCCAAAACTATTCAACTAGAAGATGTTAACTTGGCTATAGCATAAAAATTTTGAGCCAATCAGAATCGAACATTCGGCTCGTTTTTCTTTTCCCCACCTTCGAGCTCCCACCTTCGAGCTCCTTCTTTTCCCCACCTTCGAGCTCCTACTCGAGCTCCTACTTACTTCAGATCAGGGGCGGATCTAGGATTTTCTCGAGGGGGGGCGGATTTTCAAAAAAATTTACAAAATTTTGACTTTTTTTTTTTTAGGTCGACCAAATAGATTTTTCGAGCTCTGCCAAAGCACTGTTTTACGCCTATTTTGGAAAAATTTTCCGCGCCGCAGGGAAATTTTTGAAAAAACAGTCAAAAAAGCCGTTTTTGGGCACTTTTTGAAAAATTTTGACAAAAAAAAATGCGTTTTTTTGGCGCGCGCTCCCCCTCAAAGTTAGGATATATTGGCGCCAAAGGCGCCTTTAGAAAAATTTTAGGGTCGGTCTGCCAAAAATGGATTTCTGAAAAAGTATCAAAGGGGGGACCCTTTGGGTCGGCAGGGGTCGAATCCCTGAGGAGGGGGGGCATCCGCCCCCCTCCCCCCCTAAATCCCCCCTGCTTCAGATAAATAATTGTTATGATACTGTTATATAACAATTTATTTTTCGGTTGATTTATATTTCGATTAGGTTATACTTCGGATGGCTGATATAAGACCGAAAATTAGCCGGAATGTTCTATAGGCAGCGTTGAAAAAATTTTTAAAATTCCCATAACTAACTCTTTTAGTAGAAGATTTTACCTTTTGGTCTTTTTATGGGGGTGGGTTTCACTTAACCAGGAAAATATATCCTCTTCCAATCTTCCCTATAAATTGCAACTGTAGATTGTAATCGTTTTCTTGATCTTTCAATTTTCCTATGATTGTCAACTTACAAAATTGTTTTCGAGCTATAGTTTAACATTTGAAGATTTGAAGAGCTCCAGCTTGAGTGGACACTGAAGGCTATTTAAACTGCCGCGAACGAACTTTCCAATGCATGAGAAGCATATGTTTGTCAAATTTTATTGAATATTCAGGTGAGACGCGTGCGTTCCGATTCAGCTTCACCAGCATGGATTTCACGAAGAGTGGCCGACTAGCAGTCGTGGGCACCTCCGCCGACCCCTCCCTCATCAACCCCGCCACCAACACAGGGCCCAGCAAAATGATAGGTGAGATATCATGGATGATGCAATTCATGGATGATCCCCCTGAAAAACACCCAATTTAATTATCAGTAAACTAATTCAGCTGTAATCATATCATGACAACATGAGTTATTTAAGCACGTTTCCTTTAAATTAAGTTTTTTTTCTCGCTCAAATGTAAGTCTCAAATGCGGATCTAGAATTTCTAAAAGCGCGTTCGGCTCGAATTAATATATTTTTAAGGGGGACAGCGCGCGTTAAAAAAAGAGTATTTTTTGGTCAAAAGAACCTAAAAAAAATATTTTGGGTGGATTTTTGGCTGATACTCATCAAACCGCCATATTTTGCAGCCGAAATTGCATGAGAATAGCGTAAGTTACATCAGAATTACGTAACAATTGCATAACAACAGTCGGTGACAATCTGTTCTCATATTGCGTAACAATGTTAATTTTCGGCTTGTTGGAATGGTAACCTTATTGTCGGTTTGTTGGCCTTTCGGCTTGTTGACCTACTACCACATTTTCCTTTTATCTACATTTTATCAAGGTCATCAGCGCGATCTCCCGTAAACCCACTGCTGATCTGGGAATAATGACACCACATACCATTATAAACACATAAGGGCAAGGGCTACAAGTTGATATAAGCTATATTTATATTTTAGTGTACGACGTGTTGAAGTTCGACGACAAGAATGCGACTCGGATAGAGAAGGCGCACGACCACACTATTTCACACATCAGTGTCAGCCACGACGGCAGTGCTCTCTGTACCAGCAGTCACGACACTCTCCTCAAAGTATGGACCGCCGGGCATCCCAGAACAGACTGAAAAGATACGGGAGGGGGGGTAGTCTAGTAACAGAACCCTAGTTGACAAAGACATACAATCTTGCAGGAATATTGGAGTATTTCCTAAAGAAGCCCCCCAATTTTAGTAGAATTACAGTGCGGGGGGATGGGCTATAGTTTTTTTGTTACTAGGCTGGGAGCTTTAAAGGGGAGAAATTAAATATTGCAACACATTGCAACATATACAAGATCTTACAATGTCTTTTTAAACACGAAACCATGCAAGATCTTGCATGATAGATTGTGATTGTCAACTAACGAAGATCCAATTGGTACAAAGTTTTCCATCTAATCCACTGTATAACTTTGCACAATTTTTTGCGATGTGGTTCAGGGGACAATTGGACAATTTTAATTTTCTGCCAATTGGTGAGTCTGTTGTGAGCATGTCCCCTGGATTTAAAACAAAGAATCATTGTTTATATTTTAAATAAAATGTTTTAATCGAACATTGCTGAAACGTAATTTATAATTGAATTTCTCCGCTAATTTTTTTCTAGTTTTTTAGGCAGCTGCAGGAGTAGAATCAAAAGAGGGAGACCAGCTAGCCACTCAAACAGTCTCTTCTTTATTATTTTTTCCAAAATTCATTTTTAGTCGACCAATTCTACAAAAAACAGTAATTTGGCCCACGAATAGCAGCACTCCTAGATACGCAATGACCAGAAAATTACGATTTAGATGGAAAAAAACTCGGTATCGTTGTCCATTTTGTGAGTTTTCATGGTAGGCGCGTACTTGTTTTTGATACCTTAACAATGAAACACTGATAGATTGATACCTTCCAGTATTATGCGGTGGTTACTTTATACAGTTAAAGGACTTTCTTTCATCATTACGAAGTCGCTTTTTTCATGTGAAAGTTTTTGATTCTTTACCTGTAAAACTTTTTTGACTTTTGTTCAATATTTTCAGTGGCTTCGGAAAACATTGAGTGACGCTCGCTGTAGCCAAAGAAAAAAATTGTGTTCACAAAAAAAAACAGAAACAACCGATTGCTTTACAAGTTGTTTTTTGCTAAATCAGAAAAAGCTTATATTACTGAAAACAAAATAACAAATAGCAGATCTGCCAACTATTGTTCTAGATGTAGCGTTAGTTGCACTTCTGCACAGATCTGAAATTATGACGAGCAGATCTGACCAGCGTTGCTTTTTACTTTAGAGCTTAAGTAGACATGTTCGCGTCAAGATCAGGACTGGTTTTGCCTGAATGAAACACTTTCATATTTGGAAAAAGTGCATTATGCAAATTTGCAGCTTTTGCACTTATTTTATGATTTGTTCTTTTTTCATTTTACCTTTTCCGTGTCTTTTTATAGCGCTGTCAAAATACTGTTAAAATTGATTGGAAAGTTTTTCTTAAAACGAAAAATTCTTAACATCAACCGGAGTTATACTATGTAGAGCAATGGTACAAAACAATAGTATCAGATTTCTGACCATACCAAAAACTACTTTGAGATTCTTTGATTGGAAATCAAAACCGTATTTTTGATCAGTAGGGCCATTTCACACAAAGTCCTGTGGATTGTCTGTTTCCGTGCAACTGATTATCAAGGCTTTTGAAAGACTCCAATATGGATTTGAGTCGATGTTGCAAATGTCGATTTCACCTATCAGGAAAGTCCATCAACCTGTCCAAAGATATTAAACCTCGTAAACTTTTCTGTGCTGCAGTTTTATCTGAGAAAAAAATCCACGGGAGGATTAAAGGCACTTTTGGGCATATAAGCCGCATAACATGTTCAGCAATGAGTTACAGGAAGATCGACTATTTTGAAACTACCGCTGTTAATCTGCATGGCTTAGTTCTTTTTACGCTGGTGGTCTTAAATTTTTTACGGTGTAAAAATTTAGCTAATTTTTCTAAATACTTTTCTGCCTAAAAAGTTTTGAGGGGGACTATTTCGATGGAAGTTTTAGTCCTATGAGGTACTTAGTGATTTAGTGCTGGAACGATTTATTTGTGGGGACTTTATCTTAGGAATTTTTATCCTCTGGGATTTATTCCACCGGCAAAACTACTTAGTGACAAAGTATGGGTCACGGTGGGTGCAAAATTTTTTTCAAAAGGGCCTGGTAGGATTTAACGAAGGCGTATTTTGAAAAAAAAACAGGCCAGAACTTTTTTTTTAAAGTTCCAGCAAACCAAATTAGTTTTTTATTGTGTTCCCCCCCCCTTAACATGAATATTTATTGGCAACAAAGGCGCTTCTAAAAATAACTTGCAGTTGGTCAAACAAAACGGGATGTCATAAAAAGTAACGAAAAATTTTTGTTGAACAAAATCGGTGAACAAAATCGAGTGGAAGGCACACGCTTAAAATACGTCGATTAATGTAAAAATTTGCGGCCGCAGCAGTTCCCATGCACGATCTTAAAATTCAACACAGATTAAAAATTGCCTACCTATTTGGCGTAGAAAAAAAATTAAGGCAATTTATCGCGTCAAGGCTGGCAATATTTTGATAATCATACCTGTGCATTTTAAACTCTTCGGAGAACAGCTTTGAAATAATGTGAAAACAATGTGTAAATTTTGTTTATTAGAAAAACGCACCAAAATTGTTCGTTTTTTTAAATGAACGTCAAAGTTTGATATCATGAATCTTTTTTTGCTTTAGTGGAAAAAATGTAAGCTTTTTGGCAGGGGGCGGATCTAGGAGTTTTCGAGGTAAGCGGATTTTCAAAAAAAATTCGAAATTTTGTCGACCTTTTTTTTAGGTCGAACAAATTGATTTTCCGAGCTCTCCCAAAGCACTAAAAAACCGCTGTCTTGGTAAAAATTTATGCGCTGCAGGCAAAATAAAAAAAAACAAGCCAAAAAATGCGTTTTTAGGCACTTTTTGGGAAATTTTGACCAAAAAATTGAGTTTTTTTGGCGCGCGCTCCCCCTCAAAATTAGTTTATATTGGCGCCAAAAGCGCCTTTAGAAAATTTATAGGGCCCGCCGCCAAATATGAATATCTCAAAACAGTACAAATGGGGACCCTTTGGGTCGGCAGGGGGTCGAATACCTGAGAAAAGGCGTCCGCCCCCGCCCCCCCCCCCCCGCTGTTTGGCAAAGTAAACAATTGAAATAAGTATTGAACAAAAAATTAGACTCTGCTGGTTTTTGCACAGATTTTTGATCAATGATTTATAGAATTCAATCGAAACTGATCAAAATTATATATGATCAGCCAAAGTCTTTGCTAATTAAATTTTTATATGATAAGGACTTTTTCGCGCAAGAAGATAGCGATATTTGAAGAACTCATGTTTTTCTAGCTTTTAGTCAAAACAAATTTCAAAAAATTTAAGCACTTTAAAAAAAATCATTCTGTTATCAACTTGTTGTTTCCTATTTTACGTAAACTATTCTTGTTGAACTTTTTATTTATTCGGACCGAATATTTCGTTAATGTAGAAAAAAAAGGTTTTAAATGTGTTCGGCAAAACCAACTAGCGTGACGAAAGAAAGCCAAACGAAGCTGAACAGTAGATTCAATACATAAATCAAACTTGTGATTTTTAACTACTAACATAAAAACAGTCAATGAAAACATATGGTAAAACACGTCACTTTTGAGCCGGTGTTTGAGACAACTTTTACTAACATAATTTTCAAATGATTTAATTTTATTTTGTTTGAGTTTTTTTGAGATGAGGATCTGCTTTCCCAGGGCGTGTTCCAGAAAATGCCGTTTCTTATTATTGGTCATACTTTGTATGGTACTCTTCGTGTTAACTTGGTCATCCTTTTTTTCTGAAATTGACAACAGCCCGATGAAAAGAAACTTCGCCTATTTTTATGAACAGAAACCTAAACAAGCCCAATATTTGATCACTCGAATTTTGAGCAACGATTTAACACCTCTTCATGGCGAAAGCCAAACTCTAATTAACACTCAGCTGATTTTAAAACATGAAGTTTTGCCCGAAAACTTTGGGCGTCTTTGGGTTTTTCATTCTTTAGTCAGCAATGACAAATTCAATCAAATTTATCTACTTTTGATTTCACACGGAGAATGGGTGGAAATTTTGGACTTACCGAGGAGCAAAAATGTCACAGTTTTGCAGACAGCCGCGTTCAATATCAATAAGGGCCGGAACTTCGCCTTAGCGCATGCTTTCAAAAGCGAAGCAGAGTGGGTATTCCTCTACGACGGATGCTCGTTTTTCCCCAAAGAAAGTTTCGACGCTTTAACTCGAGTGGTCTCTAAGCCGAATTTTTACCTTATGCACTACACGCCAATGGTTCGTCTGCAGTATAAAATAGATTTGTCCATGGATTTGACTTATGAAGACATTTTTCCGTATATCTCTGGTCAGCAAGAGTGTCAGATTGCGATTAGCCGCTTTTATTACGAAAACAGACAAAAAATTGACGTTTTTAAGGATCAGTCTGAACTGTTTTTCTCGGAGGATCGAACTTACGGGAATCAAGACAAACTAGGCCTTATGAGATACTTCGACCACAGTTTGAGCAACGACAGCATTAGCTGCAAAGAAGCTTTCGTCGGTTACGCGAAGGAAAAATCAGAAAGCGCGTCCCTAGATTTGGACTTGATATCCAATTGTGGGTACATGATTCGGTTGCTGTACCATCCAGAGAGAGGTGCCCCCGCGAACCAGAGTCTGTCGGCGGTAGAAAGAGGAGCTCTGCGATACGAATCAATGCTGGAATTTACAAAAAGTTTGGTGAGGAAAAGTGGAGGTGATACTTCCAAGGATGTTCCTACTTTCAAATTTTCAAAATAATTGGCTCAGAAAAGATATTTATGTGCAAGATATTTAAAAACAGATTGAACTGGGATGATTAGGATGAAATCAAAAAATAAGTTGTATATGTTTATTTATATTTGTTCATGGAACTAAAAAAAGAAGTATATCTTTATTTTTATCTGAAACGAAAAAATAGATTGTGTATGTTTATTTTTATTTGTTCATTTTTGATATTTTGAAAATCTGTTAATTTGTAGTTCATAATATTTCATTAAGCTAAAATTGAAGCATAACTTGCTTTTATACTACCTGAGCAAAGAGCAGCCTAAATTCTTCGATCGAAATTACTAACTGAGAAGTGACTATTCACTTGCTGGTTTTTTAGTTATGGGGTCCAGTTTGGATAATTTTGTCCAAGCTAGTTTTGTCTGCTAATTTTACATAACTTTATGTAGTTTGAATTGGAAGAATTGTGACTGAATATTTTCATCACGTGGCATATGGACCATGATAGAAACGAAAAAAAAAGATCTAGAAAAATATGGTTTCAAGTTAACATAAGCCGATTTGCAGAGCTATTAGCAAAAAGATCAACTCTGAATTGTTTATGCAGTGAGCCGAAAACAGCAAAAACTCATTGATAACAATTAACAGGAAAAATGTCGTTCCGTTTTTTCAAAATGTTCTGTTTTTTTTTTCTAGCTTCAAAAAAGAGAGTATAAAAGCCTTCCAAGAATTCTTTCAGTTCCTCAAAAGTCGCAACAAATGAAACTCTAAACACATCTCTACACTTTTTGATCTTAATATCACTATTTACTTATAGAGGCACTTAGCATAATGCTAAGGCGTTCAGCTTGAAATCGTCAGATCGTGTACTCGATCACTTGCCATGGCAATGATGGTGTGTGAGGACGAGCTCTCACTTGACCTCTAGCTTCAAGTCCACTACAGCCTGACAAAATTCGGCTGCAATAGTGGTACCACATGAAAGTTCTAGAAGCAAAAAACGGCCTTGAGTCGCACAAAAAAGAGCTTTGCTCAACAAAATAACACGGTCTGGAATGTGAGGATATAATACAAATGGCCTATCCTCGACGGGACTGCTAAGGCCTACTAATAGCTATTCTGCGATTCGCAGGAAGCACATTATAATTATTTAGGGTTTGTAGAGTTTGAGTTTTTCATATTTGTCCAAAAAAAAAACAGGATTGGAAACGCTTCCACCAGACGTTTTTTAGTTATTTTTTGTTCAGCAAGTGAATGATCACTGTTTTATTTATTTAAAATTTTGAAGGAAAATATGGAACGTAACAGCTCGGAGTAGTTTGTTTGCAGAAAACTTTAGACTCTTATGGTTTATCCAAACAAGGCACAACACGATGATTCACGTTCCACTTAAGAATGTGAAGGGGGAGACACGCGAAAAATGTAAACACGATATATTTTAATTTTATATTTCTTTTAATTACAACTTCTATTATTTATACAAGCATTTTTACAATTGCTTAATTACCTTAAAATGCATTCTCAAAAAAAGTCAAAGTTTTGCTCTAATACAAGCAATGCTTTTTTAAAAATTAAACAAGAAATTAAAAATCAGTCGTTTTTTATTTGGTTGAAGGCATGCTGATGGTTAAAAATTCAGATAGTTGAAAGACTTTTTATAACGTTCGAAGGCAAATTTTTTGGAAATTGACCAAAATTACAGCTTTTGTTAGTTTAGAAAAAAATTAAGAGATAAAGCCTCTATTGAGCACTAGTCTATTTTTTGCTAGCTGATTTTGTGAAATATTTCCGTGTTATCATATTTAAAGAAAAAGGTTGAAACTGTTTTGTAGATATTGATGAGAGTTTTTTGTAATACGGCACCAATATAATATTTTTGTGATTTTAACACACTTGAACAATTTGCATGAATCTGTAAAAAAATCTAAAACGTTATTGTTATAAAAAGGCAAAAAAAAAATTTCATTTTTGGAGTCATAAGTTTGCTCAATACTTATGTAGTTTGCTCAGAAAAAAGTTGGCCTCTTTTCTTCAGTCAAGTTTCGACCTAATCACAAGCCGTTTTTGACGGAACTTTTATGAGCACAAAACTTGAAATTTTTTTTACCTGGAGTTACTGAATTTGGTTTAGAAATTGTTCCAAGTTGAATTTACACCATGTATTTGTCGTTTTTGATACGTAAGTAGCTGCTAAAGGCAACTCTTTTACTTTACTTAATGCCTGGTTGGGGAAAAATTAACACAAAAAAAATGTTTTCATTTTTTCCGTCATCTTTAAAGTCGGTTTTTAAAAAAAAATTATTTACAACGTCCTTACAAATCTTTAGCAAAGAAAATTCGAATGCCCAAATAGTTTTAAGTTCAAATTTGTTCTCTTATTTTTAATTGGGATGTATGAACTATTCAAGCTTCTACAAAAAGTGAAGTAGCCATTCCAATTTTACCATTTACTTAGAAATTATTTTCGAATCTTTTTGGTTGTACTGTCGTTGGCTAATGGTAAATGTTTTACAACAATTTAACGTGTTTTTACAAAGCAAAGAATAGTTCGTTGATGTTGGCTTGCGATTTTTTTGCGCAAGCTTTTTATCTTGAAAAAAGCTTTAACTTACTGTCGAAAACTAGAGGGTGGTTAAGTTACTTCAAGTTAATTAACCGCTGTATTAAAGTTTCATTCAATTGTCTTCTATGGTTAAATTAAATTTTCTATTTGTCCAATTGTTCTATTTTTCTAAAATCGAACGATTTAATATTTTTTCCGACATTTTCATTGTATGTCACAGGAACTATTAAACAAGAGAACTCATTTACTTAGGGATGCTTTCGCGGTAAAATTCAAAAAATCATTTAATTATTCAAAAAACGTTGTGTCGTCAGAATATTCTACAAAATAAAGTTTATTAAAGTTTTTTCTCCGTTAAAACTTATTTCACCAATTAAACTTCGGGCATTTATTTGTTTTAAGTACACTACGAGTCCAAACTAAGATTTTTGTGAATTGTAGACGGGTTCCGCAACAAAGACGTTCTCTTAGATCTTCCTTTGCACTTTCGTTTTCTTTGATCGTTCTGACAAAATTTCACCATATTTAAAGACTTGTCTCTGGATTGCAAAGACTTACAAACACTAAGTTGTACGCCTATCCAGTGAACTATTTGGTCTGGTATATACCCTTTTTTGTTTTAAAAATTTATTTGGTTTGAAAGATTCCAGCCTATGTTATTTGGCTTGATATCATCATTTTGAGTAATTTTAAATTCAAAAAAATATGCTATGCTGAAGGGGACTTACAAACTGTTATAATTTTTTGTCTGCATAAGTTTTGCTGACTTAGTTACAACTTTATAATCGTTTTTAGTGGCCAGATCAGGGCCGGTCATTGTCCTCTATACATTCTTCTAAAAGCCTGCTTCATTCGAAATAAATTGTGATGTCAAAAGTTTTGTAGGTGTACTTTTTTCTTTTTATTTCAAATTTTTGGTCAATTTTGTGACTTCGGATTCATTTTTGGGGCTAGTTTGTTCAAAGTAGTTACCATGCGGAACTATTTGTTGCTCAAAATATGTAGTTTATAATTTGAGCAGCAAGTTCGTAGAGGTTTTGTTCTTATTATTAAGATAATATTTGTAGCCTGATACCACTAATGTTTGTTTGTTTTTGGAAGACAAGGTCAAATGGAAAAACACTTCAAGCATTATAGCTCATAGAATGGTATAACAATGGTTTAAGGGTAAAGCAGTTTGATTGTATGTAAAATTCCTAAAAATCTTCTGTTGTTTTCAATTAGCACCATACATGTTATTTCTGTTTCAAACGCGTGAATGAGTTCTTATTCCTTTAACGTATCGAAATGCAATTGTTTTTTTAGATGCTAGAGACATCAAATGAAATAAGGATGGCTTGTCTGGCCTCAATTAAAACACTTAATTGGCATACTACTATTGCTGTAAAAGGAGTTAATATGAAACATATTATCGGTAATAGAATAGGGTTAAATTTTTGTGGGATTATCTTGTTACAGGGTTATAAAATTGTTGGTGTAAGCATAAAGGGTTAAATAGCGTGGGGTTAAAGAGTGGAAGACCCAACATTTAATCTAAAACAGGGACCAGGGTAGAAATTTTAGTTAAAGGCTTCAGGATGATATATGTCATTCGATCTATGACAAGTCTTTGTAGCAAGTGGTTCAACGCGGTAAAAAGTACACCCAAATGAGAAGTTCCCTCCCAATTTGTTGCCGGATTGGAACAGTAACTTTCAAAGTTGTAGCATAAAAATTTTCTGAAAAAATGTTCACGAAGAATCTCATGAATGCCATATACTTTTTGTCAGCCTAGGAATCTTCACAATTATAAGCTAACGATTATTTAGTCCAATAGAATCTCTTGTTTTTGTTCTTTTGATCTGCCCATCATGTCTAATTTTTTTTTAATTATATTACAAAACTTCTGATACAAAAACTAATTTATATTTTCTTTGAGACAATTCTGATTAATAAAAATTTCATTTTAAAATATTTTACAGAAATTATCAGCTTTACAAAAAAAGATATGGAAAATGAGCTGCAATTTCAATCAATTTTAGCAATGCTGACGCAAACAAATCTTCAAAATTTGTACCCAAAAAGCAGCGTTTTTGATGGGCTATTTAAGATACTGCTTAACTTTCATCTTTTTGCCCTGTTTGTAATATATTACAGCACTAATTTGTGAAAAAATAATGAAAACTTTATTAACTTCCATACATTTCTTCTCCGTTTCTTCTTTTCTTCTTAAATTGACTTTTGTCTTCTTCGAATTCTTTTTGTTTTGTTTTCTGATCTCCGAGAGTATCACTGATTAAACATCGGCGGCTACATTGTACCCTTCCTGGCACCTGTCCCTGATGTAGTCCATTGCCAGGACCATGATTCCCAGAAGGCCACCTCCACTAGCCCCTGTAGTCACTTGTGCAGTTGCGTCTTCCCCAAATGGCGCCAACACGGTCGTCTCGCCTGAAACAAAAAAAAATCGGGTTTCTTCAGGTTTCTTTAAAATTTTCTCTTATACTTTCTTTCTCTGAAACTAATTTCAACTAATCAGATTTCAGCATTATGGTTCAATGATTAAAGTTTGATAAAGATCGATTTTGGGCCGTGTAACAGAAAAAACCCAAAAAATTATTTCACGTGTCTTTTTTTACCTTTTTTATCTTTAAAAACTGAAAAAACGGGGGCGTTGCTTATGCGCGAAGGACTGATTAGGCGAAAGTTTCTAACCAATCAACGAACTTAAAACTGTTCAAAACTAGTCCTTGGAATGTAATAATAAGGAATTCTGATTGGCTGACAAAAATTGCGCGCATTCGTTTCATTATTTTCGAGGGTTTCCGCATAAAAAGGTCACATTTGTCGAGTCTTTTTAACTAATCCGAACCCAAAAACGAAAGTACAAAATTTTGTTGTTCTAAAATGCAGCGAGAGTCGATCTAAGCAGCTAAGCAATGATCCTGAAATTTGGGCGAAATGCTTAAATTTGGGCAAAGGCTACAAAAAGTCAGTTACAGTGAAGTTAGATTCGGATAAATTCCGAGCTGCAACTCATACTCAACTGCCAGATTTGTAACGTTCATTAGGATGCTCGGAATTTTGTTATTGTAATATTTTTTACTCTTTAGTCTAATTTTTGATCTTCTTAACAACCCCCCCTATGGTATCTAATAAAAAAAATACTCCACCCCCTTTAAACACGTCCAGTAAATTAGCATTAGAGCTTTCTATTGAGAAATCTGATAAAAAAGATTGTTAGGATTCCAATAGTCTTTATAGCCGACTCAAATAGCGAGCGCTTCAATTAGCAGAAAGTAAAAATTTTATTTTATTGTCCATAAGGGAGCGGTGATGAAGTGGTTACGTCTCCGCCTCTCAATCGAAAGGTTGGTTGTTCGAGGCCCACCATGATTCGTGCTCGTTGCTTGAGGGTCAAGCAAAATTACCCAGTCCAGAGAAATAACCAAAAAAAATTGCATGTAGTTCTTAATCAGGGGCACAACAGCAGTTCGCGGTAATGAGCTGTACAGCTCGTGTGTTGGCCCTTTCGTGGATAAATGTTCGTAATCTAAAATTTGTTTACCCATAAAATTTCTAGATATGGTGTCATTTGTTTAAACGAATTATCAACAACTGCATTTGGTTACTCAACTAGTTAACTTAACAGACAAATACTCATACTTTTTTCCGAGCTGAGATGTCTGACTTGGATCCTCCCACTTTGCGCCCTCTCTCGGGACACGAATTCGTTGCCGGTGTTTCTACTTTCGTCACCTGTTTGTTCACGGGTCTCCTCGCCTGACGATCTTCTAGCTCGACTGGTCGTGCCGTTGGCTGCAGCAGTTTTTAGGAATTAGTATTGTAACAATTAAAGGAGAAAACAGGTTTCGTCCAGATTTCTAAGCATGTCATAACATGGCTAAGGAAAAGACGTCAATCAAAATTTTAATCGCGTTTGCAATGATGACAATAATTTCTTAATCTTAAAAAGTGTACCAAAATTTGCTTCAAAAATGACGAAAAACCATGTTAATTAAACAAGTTACTGAAAATTCAAAATTCGAGCTCTCAAAACTTGATTTTGAAAAAAAATCTTTTAACTATACCCCCCCTTTTGCAAAGGGGGGGGGGATATTTCTTACTAGGTATAAATTTCTCATATGCTTAACCGTTGATTTATTTCTTTATACGGGGGGATATTCGTTACTAGGTACCAGAGGGCGGGATATAGTTAGAGAGATCCAAAAAAAGTTAGCGTTTCTACCCTCTATGATAAAAAATTGTTTAAGAGGGAAATGGACTTAAAAACTTGTGTCTATCTGCTATCAATGTAATAATCATAGAGAGCTATTCACCGAGTTTGATGCATGTTGTACTATAAACCTTTTTAAAGACATTCGGCCTTTTCACTCACAGCTAAAATTTGGAGGACTCTTCTCATGGACTAGAAAACAGAATGCTTGAAAATTTTCAATCAATCTACATCCTTTAAGCTGTTCGCCAATTATGACTATAGTTTTCACACTGATTTTTTTTTCGTTTCTTTTTAAAATCGAAGTGCTGATCGACCAACATAATTTTCGGGCAACTGGTCCTTCTGATTTGAGGAGGGTTGCGGCTGCTTTTTTTTAAATTGACTTACCGCCACAGCTTTGCTGGATGATTTTAGCGCATTTGCTGTTTGCGTCATCTGGCTCACACACTATGACAGTGCAAGTGATGAATGTTGAAGCTGCGTTTTCCATGAAGGCGACAGCAGGAACTGAAAACCGAACCTGAAAAAAAAACGGCTACAAAGTTTCAAGTACAAAACGCAAGCTTTGTTGCAAAATAACTTAAAGTTTAGTTCTTTCACAACCTAGTTTTGATTTTTTTCATAAAATTTTCTCGCACGCCCCATTTTCAATCAAATTTCAAATTTTTAAAAATTCCGAAATTTGAAAAAAAAATTCCAAAGATTTTTCACACCTCTCATTACTTTCATTAAAATTGGCCAAAGAGGGTCTTATTAGTGATTTGCGAGAGCTCGAAAAATCAATTTGGTCGACCTAAAACAAAAAAAGGTCGACAAAACTTTCAAAATTTTTTTTGAAGATCCGCCACCTTCGAGAACATTCTAGATCCACCTCTGATTGAGATCATTGAAAAACATCTGGCTGGGGTCGAACACAGTCCAGCACATTTTTTTTGGTCAGGAAAGTGAAAATATTTCCAAATTTGGTCGAGAAATGAGACTGTGGCAAACTATCTGGCTTGGATCCAGCCAACTGTTGCAAACTTTTTCGGTCGAGAAAGATGCTGCTAACCAAAAATCATTTGATATTATCAAAAGATATCTGCCTCGGGGCGAGAGCGGTAAAGCAGATTCCGAAAGTCGAAACATACCCGAATTTGGTCAAGACGGTTGAAACATACCGACGAAACGGTGGAAACAATACATGCGCAGCTCGACCCTAGTTGAATTACAAATGTATATATAAAAAACAAGGATAGAGGGTTTATGTAGAATTAGCAGAATTTTTCTACTATAACCTTTAAAGAATTACATGAAAAAAAAAGTTTTTTTTTCAAATTAGTGTAGTTTTTTCTGCGTGATGTGATAAAACGATATGACGTAAAATTATAATGCATGCGTATTTGACAGTCATTTTAATATAGGCAAACTGGATAACAATTTTTGTTAAAAAATGACTAGAAAAACTTTTTTAAAATTAAAAAAAAATTTCAAAACTTTTTGCAGAAAAAAAATTAATTCTTGATGTTTTTGGTTCTCAAAATGAAGCTAAAAAACTCCAAAAACTAGTCTTACTTGCAAGAGCACTTAAATCTCCAAAAACTAATTTTACTTGAATAAAGTTAAAATTAGGCATTAATAAGCTATTGTAAACGGCCGAAATGAAGCATAAATAAGCTTGCTCGCTCGTTTTTCTCGCTCGAATTTAGACGAAAAACCAAAGTTTCACGTATCAAACCAGTATTTCTTGACACTGGGAGTTTTTTTGGAAAACTTTTAAAACGGTTAGAATTGCAAATGTAAGGGCTTTAATATGATATATCACTCAACTTTCTCCCAAAATGTTTTTTTTGTGTTAGCTGATTTTGCTGGTAAAAGAAACAAAAAACTAAAACACACCCGAATACAAAGTTCCTCGCCATTTTTCAAGTGGCCGTAGCAATTACTAAAAAGTACTGAAGATTTTTTTTCATGTACCGCATTTTTGCATTTTTGTTATTTTTGTGATTTTATTTGTCTGTTTCTGTCGGGATTGAATCGGATTATGACAATTCGTATTCATTAATAAATTGATTTAAAAAAACGTGAAACCAATGAAAAATGATAAAAACGTCTTGTTATTTATGCTAATATATTGTATTTTATTTTACAGACATAACCATTTTAAGAGACAAATCCTTTTAAACTTTTGATTAATGTTTGGTCTTAAGGATAATCAAATTGAAAAACAGTTAAAAAGTACCATTTTGAAGAAAACAATGAACACAAAACAAACTAATTTAAGAACAAAAAATTGTTTTATTTTGAATAATTAGACCATACATCTAAATATGGCTGATTCAAATGTTTCATAACAGATAGCTACGTTTTTGTGGATAAGGATTTCTTATTAATGGCCGCATAACAGAAAAAACCCAAAAACTTAAAAAAATTATGTGTTGGCGTAGGTTTTCTATAAAAGGAAATATTTTAAATTTTTTTAAGTAAAATTAATTGTGTATCTAAAACAAAAAAATCTGGATTTTCCAAAAATATATATTGTATTTAATTTTATTTTTCTCAATTTGATAAGCTTTTGGATCAAAATGAGGGTCGTATGAACTACTTGACCCAAAAGTAATAGCTTAGTTACTTCTTTTGATTAATTAAAAAAACAACATTGGTTACGTTCTACGTTACAATAGCTCAAATCAATCTTCAGCGTTTACATAGAAGTATGTATTTTAATGTTGACTCATCCAAGTTGAATATGAAATAAGTACGAATATCAAGACTAGACAACCAAAAAACTTGGCGAACTTTTCGAAAGGTTTTTAAAAAAAATTGTTTTGATAAGGACATTTTATTTGCTGAACATTTCAATTGAAGAGCATGACCATGGTGCTTGAATTTTATTTTGTGCTACTGATGGAGTACTCGATATGTTTATTTTCAGATTTTTAAGCCAAGTTTATATTTGTAGTTTATTGCATTTTGAAAATACAGGCCCAAAAAATAGTTCTGTGCACTTTTTGATTGCGTTTTTTTCTGTGACGCCCACCATTCAATCCCAGTTTTAACTGACACCGAAAGAGTATTTGGAAAACAAATTGAATTGGCTGAACAATGTTCTCGCAAGAATTCATAGCGAGAAAAACCAAGGTCATAATTTATGATTTTTCTGGTGAACGAAAAACAGTGTGTTAAAAAAGTCAAAAACTGAAAGATCGAAACAAAAATCACAAGTTTTTCAGGCGCTGTTTTAAAATTGATTTAATAATATTTTCATTTTGCGTATTTTATGACATTGAATTCTGCTTTTAAATACCGAAGTTTATGGCAGTTCGTTATTCTTTGTTGACTTGTAATTTCAGATAGTTACGTTTCATTTACATATGAATTGAAATGTTGTCAATCAACCAGCTACCCAAAACCGATCTACCTCAAAACCGAGACGAGGCAGCAATAATTTAAATTGGGTATTGTAAATTAATACTACTAGGAATTTTTTGGGTGGAGGGCAATTACCTGAGGGCAAAACTCTACCATTTTCCCCAAATCAGCTTCAGGTTCACATGGTTCAAGAACGCTTAGTTACTAGTTTTCGGTGTTAAACTATATTGTTTTATAGTTATAATGTTTTTAAAAAATACAGTTTTTAACTTCTTAGACGGATATCAAAAAGAAAAGACAATATCTGGAGTGCTGCTATTTACTCAATTTTATTCAGACTACTAACGACATTCTTAAAAGGAGGGTCGATGTGATTGTACATGTCAACATCAGTGGGACAAAAGTCCTTCAAAATCGGCTGAACCAGGGCACTCGGGTTCGATATATCCTCAATGTCCGATAAACTACAGTTCTCAGCCATCAGTTCGTAGTCGTCATTGTTCTGAAACAAGGGGAAAATTTCCAAATTAATTAAAAAGCCAAATGAGCAGTTTTTTGACACTAGCAACCAGCTTATTAGTTTTTTCCTGGCTCCTTTCCACAAAATTTTGTTATGCAATTTAATTAAGGAAAATAAGGAAAATTAAGGACTTATAAGATTTAGAAAATAAAAAACAATAAAACATAAGTTTTGAAAATCAAAATTGTTTCAAAAATCATCAATGGTTGAAGAACTAAAGAGACACTTACAACATGTGCTTCTGTGATCTCGACGTAGATCATCCGACCGAGGTTGACGACAATCATTTGTGTGTTGTTGTCAGTGGGGAAGGGACTGCCGAACCTCCTGTCGCGGAACAGCATCATGCGCAATGTCAGCACCCCCTCCTCCTCTATTTCCTCACTTAATCCTAACAAAACAGGGGGCATAGTTTCGCCCGTTGAGCTCCATACATATAAAAAAACAGTCAAATATCAGAAAACATATCCTAACCCTGTACTGCTCCTACTTGGGCAATAATCGATGGGCAATCGATAAGTGGATCATACTTAACAGGGGTGGATCTAGGATTTTCTCGAGGGGGGGGGGATTTTCAAAAAAGTTTCGAAAATTTTGTCGACCTTTTTTTTAGGTCGACCAAATTGATTTTTCGATCTCTCCCAAAGCATTGTTTTGTCCCTATTTTGGCCAAATTTTCTTCGCCGCAGGCAAAATTTTGAAAAAAATAGGCCAAAAAAGGCATTTTCAGGCACTTTTTGGAAAATTTTGACCGAAAAGTTGCGTTTTTTCGGCGCGCGCTCCCCCCTTCCTCAAAATTAGTATATATATACGCGCAAGGCGCCTTTAGAAGAATTTTAAGGCTGGTCGGCCAAAACTGGGTTTCTAAAAAGTACCAAAGACTGGACCCTTTGGGTCGGCAAGGGGTCGAATCCCTGAGGGAAAGGGCGTCCGCCCCCCGCTCCCCCCTTAATCCGCCCCTGATACTTAACGTTTTTTTATTAAAAGCTGCATAGATAAGAAAATGTTTTTCCACTGCAAAGGAAAAAGAAAAAATGACACCCTTAACAAAAAGTTGAACCATTGGATCCTCAGAACTATCGAACAACTTCAATAACATGTTTAATTTCCAAAATTTTTGAGAAAAAGTTTAAAACCCAACTATATTGAGCCCTATTGAAAAAAAAAACGAAAGCCACGCAATCTCATATATGGACATATATGGAGAAGAAGAGTTTTTATTCAATTAGGAGCACTTTTCACGGCGTTTTTAGCCCATAGACAAAATTTTTGTCGACCCGGAAACATCCCTTGAGAATAGAAATTGCTGCCACTAGGATTATTTGGTGTGTAGTGAAAAAAAGGCATGAAAAAAAATATCCGATAAAAATCTTGCATTTCTTTGAAATACGCAGAGCGTAGTGCCCGTTTCGTCAAACCATCCTCTCATAAATATAATCTTGGACGTGACTGAAGGTTGGCAGTATGTAATCAATTTCGAATTTTTTTAGGGTCCGTCAGCAATTTTTTTTTATGGTCCGTCAACCAAAAATGGATATCTCAAAAAACTACAAAGGGGGACCCTTTGGGTCGGCAGGGGGTCGAATGCTTGAGGGAAGGAGCGTCTCCCCCCTAAATCCGCCCCTGCATCTATAATAAAAATTTCAATAATCGGCCTAATTGATGATATAAACAGAAAAATTTTTTAGCAGTAGAACCCAAAACTATGAAACACAAATAGTGGTCTTTTTTTGACGTGAATTTTATGGTCTAACGACCAAAAACAAATGGCACTCACAGGTGCGAAATTCTCAACTAAGTAACTTTCTCAACCCAGTAATTTTAATTTTCAGATGAATACACACAAATACCTTGTACAACAAATCCCTCTGCTAGAGAGACGTTACTCTTCAGCTCGTAGAGACACTCCACATTGACGTCAACGTTGTAAATGCGAGTCACGGGTGGACTCTCTCCTGAAATAAACACTCCTTTTTTCACAAGCAGTTAACAACTAGGAACTTAGTCCAATCGTCCTGGATTGGCCAGTTTTTTCGTGATTTTTTTGGTTTTTTCCACCCACCGGCTCTTTTTCCTCTCCATCCCCCCCCCCCACCAGCGAAATTTCACTAGTAATTATTCAGTTCTCATTGTCCGTTTGTTCCAAAATTGGCATGTGGACTTATTAGGCTATGATAGACATATTTGGTGTGGACAATTAACCTTGTAAACCCCTCGTTACGCCAGAAAATTGGTGCTTTTTTGAGGTGGGGGGAACAGGAAAAAGAGTAAGCCAAATGTGTTCAGTAAGCCAAATGTTTGTTTGGGCCACCGATGAACACAATTAGAATCTGGTAACGGAATATAATTAGAATATGGTTAGAATCCCCCTTTGAAATGAAGGAAAGAGGCCGGGAAGTAACGATATCCATTTTTTGTGTTACAAGCTGACTAATTAATTGGTATCGTAACTTATTAATTACCCTCGACAAATAGGGATCTCCTGCCGACTACACCAGTATAAGTGAGGGTGTCAGCTACATACTCTCGGTTGACCAAACACTCCGGATGTCTGAAGCTGAAGATGTACTGAGACCCGTCTGGGGACCGGTAGATATTTCTAAAAAACAGCAAGCCTGTGATCGTTGCTTGTGGGTGAGGCAACATTACCCAGCCTAGAAAAACAGCCAAAAAAATTGCAAGCAGTTCTTAGGCCAGGTCGCAACAGCGGTTCTCCGTGAGGACCCGAACAGCTCATATGTTGGTACTTCCCTTTGTAGATAAATCGTCTTAACTTTACTTAAATCAACCATATGTCAAAAAAGACTGAGCTAATGAACTCAACCGGAGCTGATCTGAGATTTTCTAAAAAAAAATTGAGATTTTCTAAAAAAAAGATTTTCTAAAAATTCTGTCGACCTTTTTTTTAGATCGACCAAATTGATTTTAAGAGCTCTTCCTTAACACTATAGGGACTCCATTTTGCCTCGATTTTTTTTGTATCTCAAAAAAAAGCCAAAAACTCTAATTTTTGGCGCGTGCTCTCCCTCGAATTTAACAAAAAAGGATGGTGTAAAATAGTACCGCAGGGAAGCATTTGTGGTGGCCAAGGAGTTGAAATCCTGGGAAGAAAGTGTGCACCTCCAAAATCGCTACTGGGTCTCAAACCAAAGCTGCAGAAGATTAATTAAGGAGCTAATTTCAACTTCTAAATTAATTTATAGCGCTGGACGAAATAAATTATATTATATGGTGTAGAGAGCGAACACGTTGCTTAAGAGTGACTGGATTGAATCTACATTATTGCACTAAATTATTGAGATTTTGAATTTAAAAAACTTCTTTTATGGCAACTTTTTATACGCAAATTTTATTTTTCAAAAACAACTAGCACACGACCATTCGAGTTTTCGATTGAATCGATATATTGGAAACTAGTAGGATAATGAAAAGGTGACAATTCGTAAATCGCTGTGTCCGGTCTTTTGCGTCCAAAACATATATATCCCGGAAATAACCGCCCCAAATAGCAAAAATAAGTTTGGTTCACAGACAAATATGTCCTCCGGCTATTTGGCTTATCCAATAACTTCCTGATTTCTTTGATTATTCTCTCAATCAGAGGGGTTAATTCGATAAGAGCAAGCAACTGTGCACTTATACCGGAGTTTTTCTTGAATAAGTCATAAGTGAAAATATCAAAACAGGAAATAAACATTTTACCTATACTTACACAATTATTGAAAAAAGAATGGTAAGAGCAAACGTAAGCATGGGTGATCCTAGCATGTTTCTCTCGAGTTCGAATGAACAATGGAAATCCTTATGACGAATAAAATCAATGAAATGATAGTTCGAACATCGATTTTTCACAGACACCTCAATTTAGTGACGATGTTGTGTTTTATATAATTGTAACGGATGTCTGCAGCTTGGTATAAGTCAAGAGGATCTACTTAATAATCTGCACCCCTTTAAAGAAAAGGGAGGGGGAGATTGTTATATAGATCAAAATGGTCGATTTTTTGACCAATCAGAATGCAGCAAAATTAGAATTCTCAATAGAAAGCTCAGTGCTCATTTACTGTATTTATTTATAGGAGTGGAGACTCTTTAGTAGAGGTACCAGAGGAGGGGGGGGGGGATTGTTAAGTAGATCCAGTCGAGGTCAGTGCTATAGCTGATTATAGTCATTATCCCGCTACAATTGATATTAAGAAACAAAAAATCAGAACAGCTCTGAAGACTAGTTTTAGCAGATGAACCACCACTACACAAATTTCTTTCCGTGCAAAGAAACAAAAAAGACGCTTGGTTCATTGACGGCAACTTTTCAACGGCATTGAGTTTCTTGATCTCGATATACGCTATACGCGCATCAACGAAGGGAATTTTGATTCATTTTGTGAATGCATTAGTTCCAGACAGGGAGGGGAATTTTTTTTCATTTTTCAAACTGTTGTGATATCGAGTTTCCCAAATTACACTCAGTCTACCGGATACACAACAACAAAAGCATGCCCTGAGATAGCTCAACCGATACTCAACTACTGTGAAGATAATATACTGGTCGAATCTCGCTGACAAATACAAAATATCAAAAACCCAGATTTGACATGGACAGCTGAAGTTGGCATCAAGTTTTACATGTGGCCTCAGCGAACCAGTAGAGCAGTTTATTTTTATAAAGCGTCTTATTGATACTTCGAACCACTAAAGCGTCTTATTGATTCTTAGGCTCCAAAGTTTACCTAGAAATGTTTTTAAAATGTTAAATTAAGATCATTTTAACTATGCTTCCCCAATCACGCCCATTCCGGCCTAGCAACATTTTACCTATTTAGGCTTTTCAATGTCAATTTTCAACAAATTGGAAAGTTTTTATCCGACCCGAGGCTTGAACGTCCGAAGCGTACTAAATTCTGATAGTTATTTTGGAAACTGTGTCTGCTCCATGATTGTTTGGTACTAATTGTAAATAAAGAATGATCAAACAAACACAAAAAAATCTTAACCTAAACGACCACTAGGTCAATTCAAAGAAAATAATTTGGGACAATTACGTCTGGGACGCGAGCGTCTTGTACAATTTCATATTCCCTGGGATTAAATTGCTAAGGCACGAATCACGTTCTTGCGTTTAGTTACGTTTCCGGGAGTCTGCAAGGAAACGTCTTTTCAAAAAAAGCTGACAAAAATTTCAGTAGGATAAAAAATTTAATTTTAAAAATACGGAAGAAAAATGAAACAAAATTCACAATAGTTTAACACAAACTAGATAACGCTCTGAAAAAATACAGATCAGTTTTGTCTTCGTAAACGGACATAATGTTCTGTACTCTTTCATTTAATACTCGATACTTGTTCTTTTTTGTGAACTTATGAACACTTGATGCATCAAAAAAGTTGAGTTTTTGTACGGAAGCGTCTTTTTGAAGGCTGCCCACTACTTTCCACATATTTGGGTGGGCTCCGCTGAAATATGATTGAATCCCGAAATGCCATCCCTCGACAGCATTTGTTGTTTGAGCGATCCCACTCACGGCCGCATCTCGTTGGTTCCAAAGGGAGGGTAGGAATGAAACATCACGGTTTGGCAGCAAGCGTTTTATATAATAGAGCCGAAGTACAGACACAACTCGTCAATTTTCTCATTTTTCTCGGGTTCCAAACAATTTCTGTCGCTTACATTCTGAATTTCCCGAACGATCATGTCAAATGAATCGCCGATCTTTATTTTTTTCGAATGCAAGGGATGGCAGCATTTTTAAAGCCAGCGCTAACTCGTGATTCGTTTCGTAGGTCACTTTCAGACCCAATTCATTAATTTTTCTCGTTTAACTCTGAGAGAGATGGAAAAAACAACCCGATAATTGTGCTTCGGGGAATGTTTTTTGGAAGTACTGAAGAGCAGCTTGCTCAAAATCTAACAAGTTTCTTTCAGGCCGACAGTTGGGTGCTAAACCAAATAACGTCTGCAGGAAACGATTGTAGGTTTTTTCGGCTTTGTTAGGAAGGAAGGCGTAAATGCAAGCTGGCGCAATGCCAGATACATTAACATGAATTGAATATAGCTGATAGAACATTTTTGGAGTAATTTTAAAAATTCCATCGGCTAACCAGAAAAATGACTTTTCCAGAACTCTCAGCATTTCGGGGTCGCCGCACAAAATAAAATTCGTGGCCGGACGCTATAAGAATTGGCTTGTTTTTAGATGAAACTGTGAACTCGAAAGAAGACTCAATCATAATGTGTTTATTGTGTTATCTTAAGTAAATTAGGAAGCCTCCTTTTAGCATATATAACTAAGATAAACCAAGTTTTTCATTATGGTGCGTGTGTTAATTGCAGGATTAACTTTGGTGTGATAAGAGTTAAGATAAGGAATTCATACAGCATTAATTTTAATAGTGAAATGACTAAGTGTTAAAATGTACTGTGTTGAACTGGAAAATAGGAGTTATATTGTTGTCGATTTAAATTGTTTAGTAATGAAGTGACTAGGTGTTAAAAAGTACTGTGTTGAATTGTATGTCATTAAATTGTAGGACACCGTGGGACACAATTGTCTATGCGCCATAAAATTTGCAAGTTGAACTTTTATCAGTAAGTCTTTTATTATTTGATTTTGAAAAGCGACAAAGAAGTAAGAGCTCTGGCTGCCCAACGTTAAAAAAATGTTATAGAAGAACGCAACGGATCAATGATTATCAGCTTTGTTAGTTTACATGACAATTTTGCGCGTTATTAATGTTTAAATACATGATGTTACGATGTAAAACAAGAATAATAAATGTATTCTTAATCATTTCTTCTGGGGAGCGGTGGTGAAGTGGTTACGTCTCCGCCTCTCAATCGAAAGGTCGGATGTTTGAGGCCCACCATGATCCGTGCTCGTTGCTTGAGGGTGAAGCAACATTACCCAGCCCAGAAAAAAAAATAACCAAAAAAAATTGCATGTAGTTCTTAAACAGGGGCACAACAGCGGTTCGCCGTGATGAGCTGTACAGCTCTTGTGTTGGTCCTTTCCCCCGTGGATAAATGGTCTTAATTTAATCAGGTGCGGAGCCCCCCACTCCACAGAGATTTAAACTTTTGACCACTTAAAGGGTTAAAGGGCCTCCTTGTCATTTTCAGCCAAGGGATCCTAAAGTTTTTCTATTGGCGTCTTTGATGCCCAAATTTATAAAAAATTTTGAGCGCCGATATACCTTGATTCCAGACAGCCCATTATGAAAAATAGCTGAACGTAGACGGCAACCCCTCCCAAACTTGCCTGAACATCATTAATATAGTGTAACGAGTGGTTCTTGAGGTTAAGTATGAAGACCAATTATGTTTTTCATGGCCTAATTAGTCGGCATACCAATGTTTGTATTAATCGGACTATACAAACAATTTTTTTACTAGTAAAAATTTGCATGTGGGGGGGGGGGGGTTGGAAGAGACACGTAGACTTACTCGGTGTCTAATCCGTCTCCGCTTGAGTTTGCAGTGAAGTTGCATGTGTGAGTGTCTCCAATGTACAGAATAACTGACTCGGATGGACCTGCAAAATACATAGAAAATTTTGTCGTTTTAACTAAAAACGTTTGTCAAAGTTCAGTTTGCCAAGTAAGCGCTAAATGAAACATCCAAAGCTAGTTTTTTTTATAGTATATCAAGTTTCTTATCCCAAAAGTCTTTAAAAAGTAAATTTCCATATAACGAGCTTTACTCCATCGTTTTACTCGCTCGAAATTAGACTAAATCTCAAGGATCTACTTAACAACCCCCTCCCCCACCCTATGGTACCTACTTAAGAGTATCCAACCCTATAAATATAAATACAGTAAATTATCACTGAGCTTAGTTTCTATTGGGATTTCTAATTTTGCTGCATTCTGATTGGTCGAAAATCGACCATTTTGATCTACTTAACAATCCCCCCCTCTCTTGAAAGGGGTGAAGATTGTTCAATAGATCCAATCTCAAAACTTTCAAACCAGTTTTTCTCAAAACTAAGACATTTTTTTTGAAAATTTTGAAATGTTTTTAGAATTACGACTAAAAGTACATGAGATATCTCTCGACCCAATCCGATAATTTTTCGCCGTACCTGATTTTGCACGGAAAACAAAAAAAACTAAAACACACGAATACAAAGTCCCTCCCCATTTTCAATGATCGGAACTATAATCTCAGTACAAAAAGTAAAAGGAGGCGGTAGGACATAAATACGTTGGATAATTTTTGATCTCAGCAGGGGTGGTGTTTGTCTGTGTGCGTGTACGTGTGTGTGTGTGTGTGGGGGGGGGGTTGGGGGTTGGGTTAAAATAGTACCTTGTATATAAGAGGAGGGAAATAGGATATCCCACTTTACTTACCCACACCATCCAAAACCAAATCTCTGTCCATTGTCACCTCCGTCCCAGCGTCAGTGCAATCTAAGCTAATCCGTGCATTAATTTCAGTCTCGTTTAGTGCACTAACCCCCTTGCAGGACAGATTAATGCACGTAGTAAACAACAACGCCCACAGAATAAATCCACGAGAATGAAACATTTTGAGTGCATACAAAAACAAAACTGACAACAAAACAGTGTAGTTTTTGGTGTATCAAAACGCAGAGATTTTTTAAACCGTATTTTACATGGTCAATTTTACGTTGCAGTAGTCAGTCTAATCTAGAAATAACTCTCGGTAAATTGTGATTGTTAATTTAATCACTATTCTCTGTTTTAATGAGACGGTTGCCAAAAACTAGCGACTACTTTTATGGTGGTTTTTTAACATGTTGTATCAAAGTCGCATTACGAAAAGTTCGTTTTCAACTAAGCGTTTTTAAAAGCTTTCGGCTTGCTTTCAGATATCGCAGTGGCAGCTGTTTCCCAAAAACAATTGGAAAAATCGCGTCCTGTATAGAATTAAGATCTAGAGCTGTGAAGCAGAATCCTATATAGGATTTTCTCAAGAGGGGGGACCTTTTGGGCGGCGAGGGAGGTAAAGGCACTCAGGAATTAGGTTTTTGCTGTCCTTTCCTCAAAGAAGTTTGACTTAACATTTTTTGTTAACATTTCAAAAAACTATTATCTTCTGATTACTTCTGATTGAAATTCTGGAGCTTGATTTTACTACAGCAATCAAAAGTATAAGCTGTATGCAAAATTTTATCAAAGATGTGGAGTGGGGTGTCAAGGTCTTTTCGGTTGTACCCCATAAAGGATGAAAAAAAGAAATGGAAATTTTTAGTAGAAAGTTGGATTGAATTTACTAGAAAATGCAGAGCTGATACGACGAACTTTAAATCAAACTAGAAAAGTGCATAAAATGTGAAGTAAATGTCAATTAAAAATGCATTTGGCATCCTCTTATTACGATTGCGATTAGCCAGCGTTATCAAACTGGAATATAGACTTTTTGTTCCGACTTTCGATACGAAAGTAACGGAATATTTGTGCTCGGGGTGGGTTTTTTTTCTTCAGACAAATTTCGACTTTTTAACTAGACATTTTTGACGGAATTTTTCAGATTTTTACTCTAAGGCCTTGAGTTATCAATTAGGCTTCATTTTAGTATTTTTCTCGCTAAGTGATAGACGTGTTTGAAAATTGATACATACAGGATGGATCAAAGACAGATCTAATCACCAAGAACTAACTCCCTACGGAAGTTTTTAGAAAGCAAAACAACTTAATTCAAAGTTCTTGCTTTGTATCTTTTTTTATAATTTCCAAAGGTGCAGTTATTGTTCCGACTTTCGATACGAAAATAACGGAATATTTGTGCTCGGGGTGGGTTTTTTTTTCTTCAGACAAATTTCGACTTTTTAATTAGCCGTTTCTGAAAATTTTTTTTATATCATTCGAAAGTTATTGTTGTCCTGAGCTTAAATTTGAAAAGATATTTCATCTGTGATCATTTTTCGCAAAGTTATCGGGGTTTAAAAATTGCCATTTTGGCCAATTTCAGACAATTACGCGCGACAGCGGAGAGTCAATCCGTCTTAGAAATCGTTCCAAATTGCTTGAAAGAAGCTTGCTTGCCATAATTGGTTTGTGAAAAATAGCGGAATCTATCCTTTTGTTCTTTCTATGGCGTGTGGGGGGATGATTTTCATTTTAAAAAATCAAATTTTATTTTGTTTTATTACTTTCAACTTATCAATGTTAATACTGCTCCATAAACCTTAAAAGGCAGTCGGAACATTCAAGGCTTCACCCTGATACGAGCAGTCTTGTTCTAGTTTACAACTAGTTTAACAAATTCACTGAACCATTTGTGCAGCTATCATTTGTGCAGCATTCAATTCTGCACTGCAGCAAACATGCTCAATTTCTTGAAAGTTAACTAATGGGTAAGACAAAAGTTAATAGACGGCTGAGGGCCTACGCTCGATTCCGGTCAGCACTTTTTTCTAAACCTGAAACATTTAGTATTAAAAAACAATCGGCCTATAAGTTGCCATTTTTTTAAACACTTTTTGTGGCGTAGGATATTTCTATTGTAATTGGAAGTCTTTTTTGATGCTTTAATGTGAATTGTATTTTTAAAAAAACTGACTATGTATAATTTGTTTTTTTTTCGAATACACGGTTTTGGCATATGATGATGATTTTGACAATGTATTGTGCGTAGTTTTCAAAAGATAGTCATCATTTAGGGAGGGGGTGTAAAGGTGGTTGGGGTTATAACCAAAAAGACCTAAATTTCATCCCTTTACGGTCAATAGGAGACAATCGGATTTTCCAACATAATAATATGACAACAAAGCTTACCATGTAGAAATTTGAAGTGTCAGTATGAATGATACTAACACCAATAGCTATTATTCAAAAAACGCGTCATCATAAGGCTAGCTGTAAATTCCTTTTGTAAATAACCCTTCGTAGATTTATTTAACCATTCATTTCTTGGTTTAACAAATAGTTTGTAGTTTACTCTATTTGTTTTCAATTTCCGAAGAATCAATTTTAATTTTTCAATATTTTGAAAAAAATAGAAGCAAGATAAGCTGCTTAATGCAACGAAAAATTTTGAGCATAACTTTGTTCAATTTTATATTTGATTGAAAACAATTAACATATTTGAAACAAAAACGTCCTATATATTGAGTTAATGATAGCAAAAACCGACAATGAAAGAAAAAACCGATTTTATTGATAGAGTTTTGCGAAAACTAACTCATCAAATTAGATTTAGACAATGACAACAAGACTGCTCGTATCAGGGCGAAGCCCTAAATGTTCCAACTGCTTTTTAAGGTCTATGGGGGAGTAATTCTATAACAAAATAAATTGTAAAAAAAAATAAGACGATTTTTTTTACTCTGAGATTTTTTTGTGAAAATCATCCCCCACACGTCAAATAAAGTACAGAGTGATAAAACTTGCTCCTAGTAACAAATCAATTATGGCAAATAAGCTTCCTTCTACCAATTAGGAACGATGTCTAAGACGGATTAAAACTACGCTTACGCGTTAATAGCGCGAATCATATCGGGCGTAAATTGTCCCAAATTGGCTAAAATGGCAACCAGTAAACCCCCATATTTTTACTAAAAATGATCACAGTTGAAATAACTTTTCAATATTAGGCTCAGGACAAACAAAACTTTTAAACGATATTTAAAAAATCCCGTCAAAAATAGCTAGTTAAAAAGTCAAAACTTGTCTGAAGAAAAAAAAAAGCCCACCACTTGCACAAATATTCCGTTGCTTTCGTTACGAAAGTCGGAACAGTAATTCGTTTCAGTTTTCAGTTGGAAAAAATCAAAAAAATCTTGCATTATTCCAGTTCTGATGGAATAGCGACTGGAAATTTGAAATTGTGCGATTTAAATCATAACAAAACTAATTTTTTGGAGTTTTGGTGTTCATCTGCGTAAAAGTCTGTAAAAATTTCTCAGTTACAAAACAAAACCTTAATCAGGTGTACTACAAAAAACACTCCGATGCGTACATAGGTGAAAGCGCACGCGCATGATTTTGATTAGTTTTGAGCCACTGCTAGAAAATTTTGAACAGCCTTGCCTTGTGCGGATAAAAGTAGTTCAGTACCAAAAAAATGTTGGCTATGTATAATCAAACCCTGCTAAGATTTATACTGAACCCAAAACTGATATATTTATGTCAACATGCTTCCTTTGTAAAAATCTGCACCATCATTATGTCATTTTATTGTTCCGATTTTCGAAAAAAAAACAAATATTTATCTCGGTGTAGTTTTTTAATTCAGTCAACTTTCGCCGATCGAAATAATACTTTTCAACAAAATTTTTTTTTAAACCTCATTGAAGATATTGGCTTCCTGAGTTCAAATGTAAAAAGATAATTTCCCTCTGGTTTTTTTGTAAAGTACTGGGGGTTTGAAAATTGCCAAATTGGCCATGTTCTGGACTAAATTATGCGCGCTTTGAAGAGTTTGTTCAAAATGCTGAAAGCATAATGCAAACTATTTATTCGTGGTGAGTTATCCCGCACAACATGATCGTTTTAAGTTGATTTGAGGCTATTTAATCGGTCATACTAATTTTGTACGACTCAAAATTTCACACTTTGATTCTGTCGAAAATTTATAGATTTTCGGTACTTACTTTTCCCCATGTTAATCAAGGGACAGTCGGAACGTTCACGGCTCTGTGCTGATATACGAGCAGTCTTCTTAGTTTCTATAAACTCAACGCATTTATCCAATAGTTCAGACAATTCACGGAAACTGGTTTCAATCAAGACAACGTTCAAAAACTCTGAATCCCAAAATCTTCAAACCACTCATGATTTGATATGATGTCCAGTAGTTTCTAAAACCCATAGTTTTTTGACAGTCCCTCTAACTTCCAAACCCAAAAAAAAAACATAAAACTTGTCGTTGTTCAGTATTTTCTTTGATTATTGCAAGCCTTCACACAGTCTGACTATGTTGAAAGTGAGAAACCGATTGAGAAGAAAAAAATCATGATTGTGTTGTATTTTCTCTGCAAGAATTTCAAAATTGGTTCATTGAAGGGCAAATTGGTGTGAACAAAAAAATTTAAGTAGGTCGTTGAATCTAGAACTATGCCAGTGTTGCAACCAGGCAGAGCCGACCTAGCCAAAATTTAGCCATCACTTGCGGAAAGTACTTCAAAAATACCAGACAATTATCAAATTTTCAAATAATATCTAGTCTAATTTTGTAACACCGCGAAACGTTTAACAAACCGATGCGAGGCTGTATGGCTTATGTATTTAGTATCTGCATAACATAGTATAGCATACTGAGTTTAGGTCCGGGGTGGCCTTCTCATAGAGTAATTTCGGATAAGGGTACACATCTGTTCATTACGCTATCTATTTTCGACCGGATATTTTGTACAACTCCTTAGTCTGATACCAATCCTAATCTTACTCTAATATCTTTTAAAGATCTAGAGATATACTGGTTTATTGGGAGGTTAGAGGCGAGAAGAGAGCACCTAATTTCAATCTTTTTTATTAATTCTCTGACTGAAACTACGAAAAGTTTCAGCTTTACAATTTATATCGTAATTTATAGTCATGGCTCATGATTGGTTAGTTAGTTATTAATATTTTACCATGAAAAATTACAAAAAATAAAATCAATACTTGTTTTAAACTGGTTCCAATACTTCAGCCGATATCAAACAAATTGTTCCCAGTTTTTACGGGAAAAGCGAAAAACGACAACCACCCCTGATGATCAAAATTGCTGCGCATACAATTTTCATATATGGAAAAACGCCAATCAAAAACTTTTGAAATATTTCCATAAATACAGAAAACTGCATGAAAGGTCTGTGATTAGTGATTTTTCATATATGGAAATTATATGACTAGCTGTTTCACATAAACCAAAAAAAATTTTGAGATGTGTCCGTGACCGAACTCGAGTGACAAAAACCATGTTTTACTCAAAACTAGAGTTCCCAATAGTTTGATCGTCTCGCATTAACAATGCATTAGAAACGACATGAATTGTATAAAAGAAATCGTAAGCAAATGATATACTAAGAGCATCAAACATTATAAATTTAAATTAACACTTTAGAAGACAATGTTTTTTTCAAAATTTGAGTTTTTGAACTATCAGACATTCATCAAGGCATACATAAACATAACGTACAAAAAATAGAAGTTTTTAGCGTTTTTGAAAAAAGGTATTCAGAGAAACGGAAAAAGTCACATTTTTTTTGTATCCAGGACTACGTTATGCACACAAAAAATTAAATTTTGCAAACAATTTTTTTTGAAAATTGTTTGTTTAGGTACCAAATTTGGCTTTTGCAGTCGAAAATTATTTTTGTTGTCGGAAAAAATTTTGTTTTCGTCATCAAAAAAAGTTAGTTATACAATTTCCATATATGGAAAATATTTGATTAGAATTTTTCTTGACAAAAAAGGTTTTCCTTTTTATTTGTTACGATACACCAAGTTTTATGCCAAAACAAGAAAAAATTAGTTTGAAGATTCGATGACACCATTTAAGCAACATTTATGAAATTTGTATTATTAGTATTTTTTCGTAGACTTAGTTTATGGAGTTGTATGATTATCATTTTTGGTCTATCGAATTCAACAGGTGAAGCTTGTATGCAACTGTGCTCATGGCTTTGCATGTAAAGCAAGGCACACGGTTCATATACGTGAATATCGGAGTATTTTGCGCTACCTCCTCAGAAACTGGTTAGTCGTTTTTTTATAAATCTTTTAAAAAATCGAGCTGAAAAACTTTTTCTCTTACTACGAAAACAATATTGATCAAATTAGAAAGCAATTCAGTAATATCAGTTTCTTAAATTTCGAGATTTCCGAAACAAAAAATTGCTTAATTTTTCTTACTTGTTTCAAATCATACACCATGAGAAAAAGAAATATGCATATACAAAACGTGAATTTGTTAGCTCCAATAATAAGCTAATATAAAAAATTATTTAGTACTCAGCTTTTATAAAATTAATGTCATCTTTTTTTTGTGTACATCTTCAATGAGTAGCTTCGATGAATGCGATCTGTTTTGGTTATTTTTTTGATAAGTTATTCTATTTTCTCGTCAAAAAATAACAAAATTAGAAAGACTAGTAAGATAAAACTATATCAACAGATTGTATATTATCAGAAATCAATAAGCGAATTCGAAGCGCAGTTCAATGGAATAATTAATGGTACTAAGTGTACGACACTCTTCTTCATTTTGCTTAGGCTTAATCAGCACATGCGTCTGTCAAATCACTACCAGCAGTTGCCGCCCCCACCACAACAGCTCCCCCTACTCCCGCTCCAACAGAACCTGCGGCTGGTCCTACGTTAATAGAGCTCAGCCCGCCATCATCAGCTGTTTGTAGAACTCTTTGTTCGGCTAAAGCAATTGTGAACCAGATAAACACAACCAGAAGACAGTTAGAAAAAATATGAATCCAAGTAAATGCAAAAGTACTGCTTTTTTTTCGATTTCGAACATGGCGGACTCGCTTTTATACTTTTTGATGGCTGATCTGGTCTTATAATTGCTAAATGCTGCTCTTCTTTAACTCTTATGCGTGCCACTTCTGCGCATATTTGATTTCTTATTGATAGATTTCATGGCTTAATAGTTGATTGGAAATATTCTAGGAGAGATGATTTAAAGTCTATCGAAGCTAAACATGTGAAATTTCAAGCTACCTTTTGTAAAAGCGATGCCATAGGGGCGGATCTACAATTTTCTCGAGGGTGAGGGTGTTTTTTTTTGAAAAATTTCTGGGTCGGTCAGCCAAAGATGATGTGAAATAGTACTAAAGGGGGACCTTTTGTGCAGTCTGGGGGTCGAATCACTGGGGAGAGGGGGCGTCCCTTCTAAACCTTTGGATGAATTTTTGTCAATTGCGAAAGAAATAAATTGCTTTCACGGCTTTTTAGTGAGATTTTTTGGACTCAAATTTGTTTTTTTAGTGAGATTTTAATTTTTGTTTTGATATGGGCTTATGCAATTTTTTGGCTGGAAAAGTGAAAATTTTGTTCACGGTACTATTCACGGTATCAATACGCGACTTGAACTCATATTGCATCAATTGATGATTTGAGATGGTGTCAAGCTTTCCAAAAATGATTTCTTGAAGCTCACGGTAACAATTTTATAGAAGTTAAATTTGGTGTTAAATGGTGTATGGTAAAAACATTGTGTATTAGCTTTTTCAGTGTTTTTTTCGGTAAAAGATGGAACTATTTAAATGTACTAACTCCCCAGTATCCCGACAGGGCCAACTTGAACCCGTTCTCGCGACACATACTCGTAGTAGGTGTCGAAACTATCTCCCAATCCCGATGCTGTGGTTGTGGTCGACGTCTCAGGTGTGTCTAGGCAGAATGGGTACCCGATTTTTTAGTAATGATTTATTTACTAACTTCCTACACCTTTTCCCACCCTCTAGAGGTAAGAAACTCAAGCCAGGGAAAACTCTATCCTGAATATGGATAGGGATTTCTACCCTTAATTTGGTGTTGGTCCAAACAAAGTTTAATTGCACATGGGGAGATTCCAAGTTTTCGAACAACTTCGAAATTATTTACAAAATGAGATTTCAAATTATAGTTTAAAAAATGAGTTTTAAATAGCTCCGAGGTTAAAACAACAGCCACACTCTACAATTTGTTTTTGATTGGAGGAATTGGTTGAAATATTTCTATTCCAATAAAATTTCGCAGATCCAGTTCCAACAGGCAATGTGTCATGTGTCTAAGGTAAGGAACGATGCACTATTGTTTTTTCAACCTCTCGACAAGACGCGGATGCAACAACTGCCAAAGATTTATTAGAAGTTTTGTTGTAGTACACATATGTAGTATCTTCGGTCAAAAGATTGGCATTTACGAACTTAAGTGCTGGATTTGAGTGCATCAAGATACCTGGTGTTCATTTTTTCAATAATGATACTGGACTACTTTTGTTGACAGTGACATAGAAGGACTTTGCGCAAGACCCTAACATAACGCTCAGAGTTTGTGTGTAAACGGTTAAAATATAACAGCTTAAGATTATTTATTTGATCTGTGAACTTCTTTTTCCGTATTCGGGTTTGCTGTCGTCATCGTTTTCATTTGCCATCCTGTCTGTATTATTGTCCAAACGTTGGCCTTGTTTTTCTTTATACATTTTGAACATTTTCTTTTTTGGAAGAGTTAAAACACTTAGCGAAAGACTTTTTCCTTCTGCATAACCTGCGTTCGACACCACCGGATGGGCAGACGTTGAATGACTCACGGAGTAAGGGTTACCGCAGAAGTAACACGGATTTGCCTAGGTGTGGAAACATCTGTCAATCCCGCCTGATCTGCGGGATAAAATTTCTCAACTTCCGCTGTGTTGCAGGCGCTTGTCAGCTCTTGTTTCATTGTTGTTTGCTAGCGCAAAACTTGGATTTCTCTTGTTGTGCGGGAAGGTTTTCAAGAAGTCAGTTGACTCTGTGGCGGTTTTTTTAAAATTCAAACGCCAATCGCAGTGTTGCATGCTGATCTAAACTTTTCAGCGTGAGTGCGTTTTGTAAGTCAGTAGCTCGTATCCGTCCGATTAAAAAATCACTCGCCACATTCTTTCCAAGTGAAGCAGATCGCTTGTGCCGAAAGGCTGCAAAACACTTGCGTGCTTCCTTAAAGCACGTGTTGTACTGCTTGATACGTTCCATGGTTGCCTGTAATTTTTTTTTCAATCCATGAACGACAGGGCAATAAGGTCCCTACGTGTTAATTCTTTCGACAGCGCTTTCCAGCTCTAATTTCCAGGGTCGAAAGACAAATTTAAACGAGCTCTAGAGTCCGCTTCAAGAAAAAACCATTTCATGCCAATGCGAGGCTTTTTTTCCATCCTCATTTGCCTCCATGATTTTACAAGCCGCTGCTGCATCCCATTGTGGACGTTTTTTTTCTGTTCTAGATCCGATACTTTTTGTGGCTTTGAATCCACACTACGCGGTTGTTCATCACGTACTGTTCCCGGGGCTACTATGATTAGCGTTACATTGACGGTAATACCTATTGTGAGGCTGAATAGACAAAACAATGTCCCAACTGAAAGGGGAGGAGCGCAATGGTTCTCCCCAGAACATAGGGAGGCCTAGGTTGTCCGTCTTGTCATCGTTTACATGATTTGCTGGCTGCGCAAAGAAAACAACCGAGCTCTAAGGTTGATAAAACTCGGCACACTGCGAATAGTTTTTTGATAAATACAGGGTTTTTTAACAGTGAGTAAATAAAGGGTGTTAAATACAGGGGTAGATATAATAAGTAAAACACCATTTAGTTTCAGCATGAATCAACCTACGAAAAAAAAAATTCAGGAAAACCTGCCCAAGATATAGCCATTTTATGCCAATGAGTCAAAGATTTACTTCAACAACTTGTTTACACGTTTTTTTTTGTGGTTTAATGAATTTTCACTTCATTTTGCGCTGAACAAAATTCTATAGAGCTAAATCAAAACAACCGGATGAAATGAAATGAAACTGAATTTGATTTTCGTGTTCTCATTTTCAGTAGCAATTGGCAAAAAAAAATAATGGGAACAAAAATTGCTTGGATTTTCATCAGCTTTTTTCTGGTGCAATTGTTTTTGCAAGTTCTTGAACCAAACTTACACGCTTAAAACGGGTGAATTCAATTTGTAGTTACTCTTATATCAAGTGACTTTTTGTCCTCAATTTTGAACAAAATGGATTGAGCTGTTTTTTGGGTGTAATTTGGTTCCAAAACTTGCAAAAAACTTGCACCATAAATAGCTGGTAAAATTGCAATAACTTGTGTCCTCTTCATTTTTGGCCAATTACTACTGAAGTTGAGCAAAACGAGTTTGAAAACTCAATTTTAGTTCATTTCATCCGGTTGCTTTAATTCAGCACTATGTTTTTCAGCACAAAATGCAGAGAAAATTCATTGAACCGCAAAAAAAAACGTGTCGACAATATATGAATTAAATCTTTGACTCATTCGCGCAAAATGGTTATCCCTATTTGGACGAGCGGTACGAAAACGTACACAACTAAACACGATTGATATTAGCCAATCAGGATTGAGAATAGAGTGTAGTAGAGTAATAACGTAATGAAAGGGACGTATGCAGCAGCGTTCACTACAGCCAAACATACGTGCACGTTGATTTGTGGAAATTACTGCGTCATCCTGTTCGTGCATGTACGAATACCCGTAATGTAACCACTGTGTACATTTGAAACATTCATTTCTCTATATTGAAAACTACTACGTGTTTGCAAAAAATATCTTCATGTAGCCTATAATCTGTTGATTTATTGTGGGAAATAATTGTATCCTAGCCCAATTTGCATAACCTGGTTTTATTGACTATTGGTTTGGCCCTTTTTCGTACCAGCCGGTCCTGGCGGTCATGAGCAAAAAAACATCAACTTTTCCAAATTTCAGATAAAGTTGATATATGGCTGGGGCGTTTGAGTGCAACGTTTCCTGGGACAATGGCAACAACGATACAGTTTATTTGACGGATCTCGAGTTTGATTTGGATCTTTTCGTGGCCTATCGTGCAGATACAAACTGGGTTGGTCAGATTACGAATATTTACGACTGGAACGATGTGGGGATTCAAAATATTTGTGTTGTCGGGGCGATCCGGTGTGATTCACAGGATAGAATTTTATGGATCAGTTGTGGACAATGACAACACGCACAAGGTGGGAAAATCAGGGATGGTAGTTGTGAGGCTAGCAAAAATCATCCCAAAACACAAAAAATTCAAGTTGTATTTCGACAATTGGTTCAATTCGCCTGAACTGCTAGTCGCATTGGCCAAGGACGGCATACAATCGATAGGCACCCTCCAGCCTAATCGAGCAAAGGGACTTGTCTTTAGCAGTGGTCCCAGTACCATGCCCCGGGGAACATTTGAAGTAAAAGCTGCATTGGTGGATGGCGTAGATGTGTATGCCATACGTTGGATGGACAACCGGTACGTGCATCTTCTGAGCACCTTTTGTACGTCTTTGCCGGTTGCTGAGCTGAATCGCTTTGACCGTAAGCGTCGTCAATACATAAAGGTTACAGCACCTGCTGCAATTCTGGCGTACAACAACCATATGGGTCACGTAGATGAAGTAAACTCATATATTGCCAGATACAGAATGACTACACAAACCAGAGCCAGATACTACATATTTCTCCACTTTGTCAATATGATCGCCACCAATTTCTGGGCAGTTTATCGCCGCGATTGCGAATTGGATAACGTACCAGTGAAAGACCGGCTGAGTCTGTTTGCGTTCAAAAGCCAGCTAGCTTCCAGTTTGATGAGGGTCAATGTGAGTTCGCGCGGTGTTGGCCGGCGCAGTACAGTCGATCAACAGATCGCTGCTAAGCGAAAGCGCGGAGGTAGACGGACTCCTACGCCCGCGCCAGATATTCGGACCGATAATGTTGGCCACTGGCCAGTTGCATCCGAAAGGGGACCCCGCTGTAAACTCCCAACTTGTGAAGCACGTCCGGTTACAAAATGCGAGAAATGTGATGTATTTTTGTGTATAACTGCTAAGAATTGCCTTAAACAATTCCATGGGGTGTAATATATCATGTTTTAAACAACTTATTCGTACCGCCCGCCGGATGGACCACATGCGCCCATTGGTACGAAATTCATAGTCACTGGATTGCAATTTTAAAATTCTCGCATTTTTAGTAATTAATGGTTGCCAATTGGTGCCCAAATGCGAGAAATGAGCTAGTTTCGCTTACGTTTTAAGTACCTCGTCCAAATAGGGTTATATCTTGGGCAGGTTTTCCCACAAAAAAGGTTTTGTCGTAGGCTGATTCATCGTGCAACTAAATGTTGTATTATCTATCTGAAACACCCTGTAGTGTAAACATGTAATTTGCCAAATGCTTTTTGTACAAAAAAGACTGGATATGATTTGTACCAAAAAAAATACCCAAAAACGCATTTAGATTGGAGATTTTTGAAATTCGTTGTGCTGGCATCGTTATAATTTTAGCTCTAATCAGAAAAGAACTAAAACAATTGTATCGTAAACCAATAATACAGACAGATTACCTAAATGGCGCCAACAAAATGCGAGTTATTCCACATCTGGTGGATGAATTTGAAGCCAGTTTAGCAACTTGACAAAAAATGCAGCGTATAGAAAAATATGTTTATGCGCGCATAACAATGGCTTTTGTTATTGAAATCTTTTTGCTTTTAATCCCTAAACTGGCCATGAAAAAAATTGAATGCTGTCATTCATAAGTTTTGAGATTAATCCAAGTTATAACTATGTAATATATAAAAGGCGTTTTCGATGTCCATGTCACTAACCTGCTGAACAGTTTTTGTTCTTTGCATACGTGCACAAGCTGCTTGGTCCGCCGTTCGGTTCACACAGTATGTATGAACAAATAATGTAAGCGGACTCCACGCTTTCAAAGAAACCCTCAGCCGGAGTAGAAAATCGGACCTAATGGTTGAATACAATCAAAAGTTAAACAAAAAGATTCAGTGGTTCTGTTCCGACCCCAGATAGTTTTCTGAAAAAAAAAAATCATTTTTCTCGATATTTTTTAGTCCTTTTCCTATGCATCAAAAATAAATTGATGACAGGTTACTTAAAACGTTTAGTATTGTCTTAGACTGTTTATTAGCTCAAATTTAATTGCATCTTGAAAATGCAGTTTAATTTTACATGAGTCGCAGTTGCATACAATTATAATAAATTGTGTGTGTAACATCCGATCATGAAACTAATCTATGAAAACAAAGAAATATGTTGCTTTCAGTCCGATTTATGGATCATCTTAAAAAGCAATTATTTACCAGCTTATACTTTATTACAATCAATCAGGTGCAAGCAAAATCTTTTCCTTTTTCAATATTCGAGATTGACAAAGTTGTTAGGAAAACGTGGAAAAATAACGGTGAAATAAAGCATCGGTAATTTTTACGATACTCACAACGTCAGAGGTCGCAGGCATAGGGTTGTATGATGAGTTTGAGACTGTTTGAACTGGACAAAATTCCTCTAAAATAGTTTCTTGGCCGGTCGCGGGGTCGTCTAGGTTTGTATTATTTGCTAATGTACAGTTTTCAGCGACCATCTCATAGTCATCGTTCTAAAAAAAATTCAAAGTTATACAAAATTAAAAGGTGATTACTTCACAGCATTAGAGCAAAAAAAGTATCATTATGTTAAAAAGAGATAAAAAAAAGGCAAGCACTATGTTTTTTAGCCATATTTGAAATTTTTGGTACACATCGGTATCCAGTTTTAAGCGTCATTAAAACAACGTTAACCCATCGACTGTTCGACATAATTGTAATCGGATATAATCAATTATAAAAAATTGTTTTTATTCCAATTCATACTCATATGTTTTGCACAAAAATCTATCATAATAGATAAAAAGCCTTTTAGTTTTCCCACTTTGTTTGCGACCTTGCATCTGAATTGCTAATAAATTATACTTTCCGTAGGCGTTGCTTTATGTGGTGCAATCGAGAAAAATGCTTTGGAAGTTTCAAACCATTTCAAATTTATAACGTTTTCATGTTTTAATTTCTTCTTCAATAGAGTTTTTTCATGATACGCGATTTTAGTTTTTTAATCAAAATTTTAGCGCATTGCTTTAATTTCAAGATTTATTTGCAAATACTAATTATCACCTACCGCGGGAACCATTCAACTTGTATCGATTTGAAAAGTTTAGTGCAGATGGTGAAAACTGGCGTTTTCAGACCCAGAAAAAACAGGTCAATTTTTGAAACCAACTTGCAAGTGAGGGCAGCACTGATCGTTTGCTGTTAGTTTTGCTCAAATTTCATGTGATTGTTTTCAAAAATCCTCCTTAAAAACAAGCATTTTAGAGAAAAACACCTGAATTTGCGCTTAGCTTTGTCCAGTGTTAAATCTTTTAATTAAAAATTTACATTAATTGACAGAAAATGATCTGAACTACTTTTCTGAAAGTCTTATTATTTTATTTGAATCACATACCAGTTTGTTTTTTTTCCGGGTCTATAAATGACAGAATTCTTCATCTGCACTACTTTTACATCGCAGCGAGCTCTTTCTTGAAAAAAAAATAATGTTTATGCCACGTGAAACAATCTCAGCGGCAAATTTGAAAAAATCAGTAAGAAAATTTAAACTTTGCTGTTTCTTGCTTTCATTAATAACTTAAATGCAAGTGAGGAAATGTGGAATTTTCAGACTTAGATTGCATTGGTAAATCTGACAGCAAAAACTAATAATTTCATAGAGATTAGCTCTGGTAATTTGCTCTTCGTATATGTAAAAGTTTTGCTGGAAATCAAGGTAAATTTTCTCTAAAATGGACATTAAAAACAGGCACTATAGAGCAAAAACTTGAATTTGCGCTGCGCTTATTTTTGTTCACTATTGTAGGTTTACTTATGGGAGTGAACACTTTGCGAATAAACGGAGTAGAAGAAATTAATCAGACCAGGTCACTCATTTTAGAGGAGAAAATTGCCATGTTCAAAGTGACAAATTTCCTCGATTCGGTTATTTCTTCATACCATCAAAAAACCTATTTTAAATAACGAAAACTGGCATTTCAGAACCGAAAACTGGTAGGTGATTCAAATCAAAAACTGAAACATTCAGAGAGGGTAATTCAGCTTATTTTCTGTCAGTTGATCTAAATTGTTAAACTTCTAAGTAAATTTTGTCCAAAATCGTCTCCGAAATTAAAAATTGAAACCTGAATTTGCGTATATATTTGACCACTAGTGTAACTAATTCCAGTTTGCTGAAAATCCAGTTTGCTTCTTTTGCTGAAGCTTATTCAGGTTGCTAGCAAAAAAGGCCAGTTTTGATTTTGTTCTTTTTTATATGCTCGCATGAAAATAGAGATGACGCAACAACTCTGAAATTTTATAGAAAGCGACAACTTTCAAGGTTTGCAAATTAGTTTTAAACTTAAAAATGCAGGCGGGCGCGTTATACGGCTCGTAATTTTGCATACCCTCTGTCGGCAAGCTCGCAGCACGTTAGCGTGACTGCGGCGGTGAGTATACTGCAAGTTGTCTTTTGTTGCGAGTTGTCGCTTTACCCTAAATGGTGATTGGGTCTTACCCGTTTGGTTTCTTCGGTCTGTACATAGAGTTGGGTGCCAGCAGTTACCAAAATGACCCCCGCTGTGCCAGGGTTTCGCTTCGTAGAGAAAGTATTGCTTCTGTAGATGTTTCCCTTTAAGGCCAAAATGTCATCTTCCTCCAAATTATCGTAGATCGGTGGGTGTTCTACAAGACAGATTTTTTTTTGCTTTTTTCAGGCCAAAATCAAAGTACTAGACTTGAGATTAGTCAATCACATGAGTGGGTTTCTTAACAAAAAAAAACATAATAAGCTGACGTGGAGCGAAGCTTTGCTTCAGTTGCCATACACTACAAACATAACAGGGACTATCAGCCAACAAAAATGAGACAAAAGCCACAAAGCAGAACTTTAGAGGGAAAAAAACGTTTCGAAAAAACTAGATCTATCAATTTTTTATACGTTTGCCTCGAATGAAGATCATTTCGAGAAAAAATATTCAAACATCCGATTGTCAGCGTTACATGAGTTACATTGTTACGGTAATTGAGCAGACAATACTTGGATAGACACTTTTTCAACTGCAAAACCCCCAACGTAAATCCAATATAGCATCAAAAAAAACTACCAGGTTGTAGCAAAAGTTAGTACCCGCATTGGAGTTCCATGAATATAAATCGATTATAATTGAGTTTCCTTGACAGTGTCCGCAAAAATGAAAACAAATAGATTTTATTCAATTAAAAAAGGATTATAATATTACTATTTTTCGAGGCAACAAAATCCTTTTTTCATCCATTATAATCGATTTTTTTTCACTTCTGTAGACACTGACAATGAAACAAAATTAGAATAGATTTTTTTCCATTTAACTGAGATAACGAATTTCAAAACACATATAATCTTTTCTACGTTTTAAACTAAAGTTGGTTACGTTGGTTACTTGTTGTTCAATTTAACTGTTACTTGTTGGGGGGGTTGTTCAGCTGGGGTGGATGTGTTTAAGTGGGGGGTGGTAGAGTGGGGGAGGGGGAGCAAAGGGGCAAACGTAAGGGGATTGAAAGGGAGCAAAAAGGCAAACGTTAGGGGGGGGGGAAGAACGTAACGGAATCTTTTTGCAAATCGGGTTTAGGTTTAGAAATGGGTTAGGCCGTACGATCGCTTTGCAAAGTTTCGCATCACTCACTTGATAAATGCCGAAATTCTTGCAAAATTTTGCACGAAGCGCGAAACAAAATTAAAGTGGAAAAAAATCCATTTTTTTGTGATTTCCTACTTATAAAACCCATTATAATGGATTCCAAATGAATTATAATGCATTTTGTTTTGGCGAGAAAAAATGGATTTAAATCCATTTTTAGTCCAAAAATTTTCTTGTCTGAACGTAACATGGGTATCAATTATTTTTACTTTTTTATAGACCACGAAAACCCATTTTATTCTATTTGTTTTCACTTTTCTTAAGTGCGGGTAAGATTCATTTTTTATGCAAAATTGAGCTTGTGTTTTGACCTCCAGAATAGACTGTTACACGGAAAAATTCTAATGAATACTAGGAAAAAAAACTCGCAATAACAAGTGAATAAATAACACCAACATCCTTTTGTATTTAACTTTTAGGTACATCCACTTTTAGGTACTTCATAACCGCAATTGCGCTTCGTGAGATTTAAATCTAAAATATTTTTCAATATCTGTTTTATCTTTTTTCAAGATGATTTGAATTATATAGAAAAAAAGTATACAAATTGTAAAAGTGCGCACATACTATTGTAAAGGTGCATATATACTACTGTAAAAGTGCACATATACTACTGTAAAAGTGCACATATACTATTGCAAAAGTGCACATATACTATTGTAAAAGTGCACATATACTACTGTAAAAGTACACATATACTATTTTAAAAGTGCACATATTGTAAAAATGCACATATACTATTGTAATTGTGCACATATACTATTGTAAATGTGCACATATACTACTGTAAAAGTGCACATATACTATTGTAAAACTGCACATATACCATTGTAAAAGTACACATATACTATTGTAAATGTGCACATATACTATTGTAAAAGTGCACATATACTATTGTAAATGTGCACATATACTATTGTAAAAGTGCCATATACTATTGTAAAACTGCACATATACCATTGTAAAAGTACACATATACTATTGTAAATGTGCACATATACTATTGTAAAAGTGCACAAATACTATTGTAAAAGTGCACATATACTACTGTAAAAGTACACATATACTATTGTAAATGTGCACATATACTATTGTAAAAGTGCACATATACTATTGTAAAAGTACACATAAACTATTGTAAAAGTGCACATGTACTACTGTAAAAGTGCACGTGTACTATTGTAAAAGTGCATATATACTATAGTAAAAGTACACATATACTTTTGTAAAATGGCTGCATTACCGACGACGGATACGCTCTGTGAGAAAGAGACGGACTCCCCGATGTTGTAGAGGCACTGCACATTCGCAGTGAGAGGCACGATCCGAGTCACCATCGGACTCTGTCCTAAAATGAAAACAAACAAACAATGGACCATGTTAGCACCCATACCCCTAAGCCCATTTAGGGAGGGGGATAACAACTTGATTCTAGGCTGAAGCTTGCTTTCAAATCAAACATAATCGAGTACTTTACGACCAGCACTAAGCAATTCGAATCCAAATTGAAAATGGGGAGGATAATCTGATCATTGTCTAATTAGGGGCCACATTTTTGCGTTTTTCTGTCGCACTTATCATTTTATTCATATGAACAAAATTAATGTCGCTGTTCATAAAAGTAATATAAAACCGACAATGATTGCCTTGAACTCATTTTGATCTGGCAGTTTTGATTTATTAGATCAACTTGCAAACTAAAATCTTTATGTTCTTTGCCTAAAAAATTTTATAAAGCTTCCTGTTTCGATCGGTCCCAACAAACAACAATACGACAACAAAAATCAATCTAAATTTCTTTTTTGGTGGCTTTATGATCATGACAAATTTCGCCTGCTTCTTACGCAATCCTATCTAACCTATATAATTTTTCTAAACCTTTATATCTAACTAACTTTTTATAAATTATATTCATATTTTTTCTTTCTTTTTTACCGTCGATGTAACAGGAGTCTCTGACTATCGTGGAGTAATAGTAAAGATTATCGGCTTTGTATTCACGCGTGGACAGACACTCGGGAAAAGTGAAGTTGAAGATGTAGTGGTTTCCGTCATCCGAAAGATAGATGTGACTACAACACACAAGGGTACATGTATGATATTTGGGTGAGAGGAAAAAGTAAGAACAAAAATAGATCCCGCGTTTGAGGGGGAGAAGGAAAGTTATTGTGCAATTTAAGTTACCTGTTTCTCTAAAACGCAAGGTACATGACTGAAGCAAGTATTTATTGTTCCGACTTTCGAAGAAAGTGAGGAATATATATATACCCGGGGTAGTTTTTTTTAAATTCAGACAGATTTTAGAAAAGTTGATTGCGCATAGGTATCGATCCGGAAATCTTGAAATTGCCATGCGAGTATGCTTTAATTAGACTAAAGTGCGACGTTGCTGCCGGAATAAAACTTTGAAAGGTTGTTTCAATACGCGAATTATTTATGTGGCAATTTATCCGCCTTCATAACCATTCCAAATTAAACTGACGCAGCTAATTGGTCTTATTGTTCCAATTTTTGTAGCGAAAGTATGTTCCGACTTTCGTACCGAAATTAACGGAATATTTTTGCTCGGGTAGTTTTTTCATCAGCCAAGTTTCGACTTTTCATTGAGCCACTTTTGACGGATTTTTTATAGCATTGAAACGGTATTGTTGTCCTGAGCTTAAACTTGAAAAGTTATTTTACCTCTGATCATTTTTCGTAAAGTTATGGGGGTTTAAGATTGCCATTTTGGCCAATTTGGGACAATTAACGCGCGATATATTTCGCGCTATTAACGCTTAAGCGGAGATTTAATCCGTCTTAGAAATCGTTCCAAGTTGGTGGTTGAAACAAGCTTATTTGCCCTAATTGATTTGTTACGAGTAGTCTTGTTTGCCATAAATGATTTGTTACTAGGACCAAAAAATATCACTTTGTTTTTTATATGGCGTGTGGGAAGATGATTATCACAAAAAATCCCAAATTTAAGAAACAAGGTATTGTCAGCCTAAAAATTTTAAAAAAATTTGTTAAAACTTCGTATGCCAAAATTTATTCCAGACCAATTAATGGGCAGTCGGATCAATCACGGCTTTGTTATGATACTAGCAGTCTTGTTTTTAGTTATTGGGAAAACTCCAAGTTTTGAAAGATAAACCTTCATACTCATACGAGGTGTTGTGTTTTCAGTTTGCATGCATTGCGCAAATGACACTAACAAACACGTACGGATCATGTTTCCAAATTTGATTGAGGCCATAAAATTAATTCAGTCAAATGTAGAAAAACTCAAATTATGTCAACAAAAATCTTTGTTTCGACAACACTTTATTTCCAAAAAATAATGCAAATTCCAAAAAAAAGACATTTTTTGACTGTTTTCAACTGAATTTCAAAAAACAATACTTGCTTGGAAAAAATTATGCAGCAGCAGGTGAGAAAAATGTGGACAAGGCCTCGATATGATTCATTTTGTTAATATCTAAATTAAAAACAAAGCACAAAGTTCTCTGAGACTTATAATTATCATTGTCGGCAACGCTGTTGACCACACATCATTCGCTGGTTCTCAAAATATAATCCAATACTACTCGTGGGATCGAAGAAAAAAAAACAGTGTTCTCTGGATTCGGGAGACTACTGTCTTTGATTACAGATCGCATTAAAGCGGCCTAAATTTTCAATGCAAGTAGGGGCGGATCGAGGGAGGAGGAATTTTTGAAAAAAAAATTGAAAACTTAGTCGATTTTTTCTATGCTCAAAATCAGTATAAAGACCCTGTTTTGACGAAATTTTCTGCGCCGCACGCAAGGTTTTGAAAAAAATCGGCGCGCTCTCCCCCTCAAATTTAGGCGCCTGTAGAAAACATTAGGGTCGGTCAGCCAAAAATGGATGCCTCAAAATAGTACAAAGGGTGGACCCTTTGGGTCGGCATGGGGTCGAATTGCAGAGCAGGGGCGTCCAACCCCTCCCTAATTCCGCTATTGCTTTACAGGCATTTGGTTGCAATTTACACACTAAAAAGGACAGTGGAATCCAAACCCATAATTTTCACCACCGTATATAGAGTTAAAACTTTGATCGCAGAATCGGCTGGCAAAAAAAAAACAGGTCTTTTTTCTTCTTAACACAGATCTTTTCTGGAAATAGAAAAACCACACACCGACGTTGTAATTGCACCCCAAGATTCAAACGCGGTCAAAGAAGTTACTCACTCATTGTTGGTTCCAATGCCTGTAACATTTGCAGTGTAGTTGCATTCTTGTGGGCTGCCTACGTACAGAATGAAGGTTTCGTCTGGGCCTAAAGACAAGATTTCAATGCTTTTAGTTTCATGTCATTTTAAAAATAAAATTTGAGGTGAAATTGAAGAAAACAACCGCCGATTAACTTGGCTTACTCTGGGTTCCTTTCAGTTGCAAAATAAACTTATAACTAATTATAACAAGACTGCTCGTATCAGGGCTAAGCCCTCATAGTTTCGACTGACTTTTGAGGTCTATGGAGCAGTAATAACATGAAAAAATTAATTGTAATTAATTTTTCTTTATTTGAGATTTTTTGTGAAAATCATCAACCCACATGCCATATAAAGTACAAACTGATCGATTTTGCTCCTAACAAATCAATAACGGCAAATAGGCTTCCTTCAACCAATTTGGATTGATTTCTAAGACGGATTAAGTCTCCGCTCACGCGTTAATAGCGCATATGTATCGCGCGTTAATTGATGCAAATTGGCCAAGATTGCAAATATTTAAACCCCCATAATTATACGAAAAATGCTCACAGGTGAAGTATTTTTTGAAATTTAAGCTCAAGACAATACCTTTTCAATGCTATAGAAAAAAATTCCGTCAAAATGGCTAGTTAAAAAGTCGAAATTTGGCTGAAGAAAAAAAAACACTAGCACAAATATTCCATTACTTTCGTTACGAAAGTCGGAACAATAAAGATAGCCACGGTTGTTGTTGTTGTGCAAGCAGTGCAGAATGATCACAATGATTTATAAAATAAATCGAAAATGAACAATTTAAAATTAAAAAAAAACGTTTTTTTTTAAATGTTTTGTTTAACTTTCATGCTGTTTTTTTTCCTGAAAAGGAGAATGAATTACGTAGAAAAATTAAACTATTCAGGCCAATTTTTTTCGATACTGAGACACTTTTCGAACTTTTTTGAGTCCCGCCTGAAAAGGTGTTTGTATGATACCACACTTGAACCGCTACAATGCATGAAATCGGGCAAAAACACACAGCGCAATCGCTTCTTCCCTTCATTTCGTGAAGCGGTCGGAACAATCGATCGGATTTTTTTAAATTTCTACGACGCGCTTTAATTTTTGTGAAGCGGTCGGAACAATCAATCAAATTTTTTAATTTTCTACTGCGCACTCCAACAATTGAAATTGCACCTGCTTATTTATTAACAATCTCATTTAAAAAAAATTAAATGCAAGCCGAAGGAAAGTTTATTTAAGGGATGCAGCCTCATTGCTAAGAAGGGGTCCAAATATTGATTTTTAATCCTTTTAATTGTAAAAACGTCTCCATAAATTGTTTCAATACAGAAATATTTCATTATTTTAAAGAATGTGTAAATTTCAACTAACCAACTCCTTCGAGAGCCAAGCTCTTATTCATTGTGATAACAAAACGGCCTTCAGAACATTGTAGTTGAGTTTTATCTCGAATATCCATCTGAGTTAATGCGCCCACCCAGACTAAATTAGTGCACGCAGTAAACGCAACCCACAGAATTACTCCACGAAAATAAAACATTCTGGTTATACCAAAGCAACAAACCAACAGAAAGTGGTTTTTGGTATGAAAATGTACAATTTCTTTGATTATTTGCGCGTTCACTTTTACATTGTGGTCAATTTAGTCTCGAATCAATGCGCGTTGTGATGATGTGATGACTTTTAACTATTTTAATTTGCGTTTTTTCAGCTTTCAATGATTTCGTTGCCAAGAACTTCAAACGCCTATAACTCTTAGTATGGTTAGCTGCTCAAGTTTTCTGTATTATCAACGTTGCTTTTGTCAATGTACTTTAAAGCATTAACTGAAACTTATATTAAATCTCACTCAATTATTAACAACACGCACATTGACTTATGCTGAATAAAATCACAAAAAAACTGAAGTTACATAGTTTGAAAAATTTGATGGAGATGAAAAAAATTAGGAAAATGATATCCTTTGAAACAAGTTAGCGTCAGAAAAAAACTGCCCCAAAAATTTTGTACTTAAGTCTGCCAGCGATAGTTTGACTACACTGATTCATCCACAAAACTATACTCAAGAATTGAGGTTACGTTCAACTGCTCGCTAATTTCGGTGACGAATAGTTAGTAGTATATGCTGATGGAGAGCCAAGAAGGCTGGCGGGGGAACCCCATGTATTAAGTAAGGGTTTAGATATAACTTCAGATGGGGAATAGATAGCTTTAATTTGGGTATATTGCTTGACATTGTAAAAATGGACGGAAAATTCAGTTTTTAAAAAAAAAATTTACAAATTTTTTTGTTAAAATTTCTGTTCACTTTATCGGAATTGCAACAAACAATCTGGTAAAGATAATGCATAGATAGTAAAAGCACCAGAACTGAAAAATATTTTGTATCATTGTAAGACAATCGCGAAAATTGTGGTTTCTCAAATGTCAATTGCTGTAAGATTTGCAGTAGTTTGTACTAAATTTTGTTTTATTCAGTGTTCTATTTTTTTTGCTGAAACAAGCTGAAAGGAGCTGAAAAAAATGCTCGGAAAATCATTTTGGTCGACCTAAGAAAAGCCGACGAAATTTTCGAAAACCTTTTGAAAGTCCGCAACCATCCCCCTCCCCTAGAGAAAACCCTAGATCCGCCACTGAGTATATGTCAACAATTCAAACTTTTTCCATCCTACATTTTTTTTCAAACGATCATTAGATTTAGCAAACTAGTGAAGTTTCATGCAAAATTGCCATAATCAGATATTACCCTAAATTTCTGTCAAAGGTTTCCGGCAAATTGTCTGGGTGAGACAAAACTAGAACTAGGGCAACAAATCGTCTGACCAAAATTTAAAAAAAAATCAATTTCAATCTAAATTGCCATAAACCCTTTTTTTCTACTCAAGTTTTTTATCTTTATTATATCCCAGTTTCAGAGTTCAGAGATCGTTTAAGAAAAATTAGGAGAATTTTGGAGATCAATTTCAAAACCTTTAGCTGATAATTCACGACTTTAATTGAAAGCTGCTAAAATTTGCTGGTTTTTTTTTAGTGTTCCGACTTTTGTAACGAAAGTAACGGAATATTTGTGCTTGGGGTGGTTATTTTTTCCTCAGACAAATTTCGACTAATTAATAAGCCAATTTTGACCGTTTTTTATCGATCAAAAAGCATTGTTGTTCTAAGCTTAATTTTGAAAAAAAATATATATATTTCACCTGTGTTAAATTTTGTTGAAAATATGAAGATTTAAAGATTGCCATTTTGGCCAATTTGGCACAATTAACGCGCAATTGCGTAAGCGGAGATTTAATCCGTCTTGAAAATCGTTCCGAATTGATTGAAAGAAGCTTACTTGCCATAATTGATATGTTACTACGAGCAAATATTGTCACGTTGTACTTTATATGGCGTGTGGGGAAATGTTTTTTTACAAAAATCTCAAATTAAAAAAAATCAATCCATTTTATTACATTTATTTTCTTCCGTGTTGTTACTGCTCCATAGACCTTGAAAGACAGTCGAAACAATCACGGCTTCGCCCTGATACGAGCAGTCTTGTTATATTTATGAACCAAAAAAAATTACTTTGATTTTGTTGGTCTAAATACGCTAGTGGAGTCTGCTAATGCAAAATTACAAATTCTTGAAAACTTTTCCTAAAAGCTTACATCAACTTAACGATCGAGGATGTGAGTTTGGATCAATGATATAAAAATTTTACAGCTAAGTTTGGATTATTTACTCTAGAAAACAGATTGATCAAACTCTTGTGATCTTAACAAAACTGCTCGTAGATCAGGGTAACGCCCTGAATGTTCCGACTGTCCCTTAATATATATAGAATAGTCTGTGAGAAAAAATTATAATGAAAATTTATAAATTTTGGACAACATCAGAGGGTGAAACTAGTGCCAGTTCAATTTGGAACAATGTTGTTGTGCGAGACAATTAGCCACGCATAAATAATTCGTTCGCGTTACGCTCTCATCATTGTGAATAAACTCTTAAAAACGCGCATAGTTTGGTCCAGAAAATGGCCAATTAGGCAATTTTTAAAACCCCAGAAATTTACAAAAAAAAAATCGGAGGTAAAATATCTTTTTTAATTTGAACCCAGGAAGTTGATATCTTCAATGGGGTAAAATAAATGTTGAAAACTTTTATTTCAATCTGCGAAAAGTGACTAAATAAACAAAACCACACCGAGCATAAATGTTCCGTTCTCTTCGAAAGTCGGAACAAAAACATTTTCGTGAATTTAGATTGGCTTAAAAACGCCAATATGGCCAAATTGCGGAAAATATTGATGCCTAAAGCATGGGCCGGAAAAAATAGTTCAGTGACGCCATTAATTGATGAACAATCGAATAGCCATTAAGCCCAGCATCAATAAAAAAAAAATGTTTTTTTTTTCGTCAAGCATCAATTCATAACTTGTTCTGTTTCCATATTTAGAAATCAAGATGAGTCATCCAGTTGACATGACCGCTACCAGTTTATCGGATCGTTATTTTCACTTCCCTTCCACCCTTCATTTTGAGTTCAGATTCTACCGAAAAATTTACTCAACAGAACATAATTTGATTAATCTCAACAAAAGTTGAAATCTGCAAAAATCTGCAAAATTGATATCTGCAAAAACGTAAAAATTGAGGGATGAGCTTTGAGCCAATAATTGTGCAAAAAAAATTGCTTTGAATCTTGCTTTCATCTAGTTAAGAGGAATGAATCGAGTAAAAATGAAAAATATCAGAGGTGTTCAGGAGAAAGCGAGCTTATATATAATTTCAAATTACATGCATTTCAGCTCATTCCACTTTTAATATGAAGCAAAAAAACATTAGAAGGAATTTAATGCTACTCGTATTTACTGAACGAAATTTATATCAAACAGTGTCAAGTATTTTTAAAGGTGTTTTTTTTAATCTTTCAAACTGTATATCATTTTTTTTTTCAATACAATTAAAAAAGACCTGGTATTTCTTTGAGTTACTCAAAAGAAAAACTGCAAAAATTTTATGATATCCTTTTTGTTGAAGAAGATGTTGATTCTATTTTTTTCTTAAAAAATGGTTTTCTGTAGTGTGCAAAACAAAATTAGCCCAATGAATAGAACAAATTTTACAGAAAACTATTCAAAAGTTTAATTTTACCTAAATATTGACCATCAAACTTTCACCAACTTTCAATTTTAGCGCTGAGATTAACTTCGAAAAAAGATATATAATTTTTTCTAAAAAAATCAAAAATTGAAATTTTTTACATTATTCTTTTTCTTATGATTTTTTTCCATTAATAGGTCCTTGTTCACACAAACCACTCTGATTTCTTAAATTTCATTGGGATTCTATTTTTTCGAACTCTTTCTGGGAAACAATTTGAAACGGAAAGTCTTGTAAACTGTTTTTGAAAACTTTTAAAACGTAGGTTTCAAAACTAAAAAATTTCCAGCGATTGGATCTAAAAAACATGAAACGTTTTGTTTTTTGTGTAAAAAAATTTCTGATCGGACACGACAGAAACTCAAAAATGAATCAAACAAGCAAAAATCTTAAACGAAAATGTGCTTTCCAATATCCAATAGCACACATTTGATAGAAGTTTTGAATAGATTTTGCGTAATATTTGATATTTTTGGCTTATTTTGTTAGTTTTCAGACGTAAAATGGATATTACTTGAGGCTGTGAAAATTAGGTGCAGTAGACACACGAAGCTCTTATTTTGCTTCAGTTCATTGTTTCCATTGCAAAATTTTAAAAGGAATAACTTTACAGACACTTAGTAATCTGTATCAAAGTATGAAGCGATTCATAATGAAACGAGTCAGCTATTGTCTTCTGTGTTAGGTTGATAATGTATCGTCCAAGTTTCTCACAAAAAACATCACAGTTCAATGAGCAAACTATCATAAACTTTTTAAATTGGCAACAAATATAGAATTCGAGAGTCACAGGAATTTTAAAAATCAATCGTGTCTAAAAAATTTTGGAGAAAAAACTTTTATATATATATGAAGAAAGTTGATTAAAATTAAGAACTGAGTACGGAGAAAAGTGTTTATTTGCTAGAGGCAATCATTTTTTACAAATTACTAATTGCGATGCTATAATTGAAATTCACACCTACTATAAGAATGATCCGAATTTTAGTTTCAGATTGTTAAGATTTCCACTACTTTTTTCGTGAATTTGAAACACTTCCCAACTGAAGATAGAAAAACAAAAAAAGTTGTAATTTTAAATGTCATTTAAAAGTGTCAATTTCAATTATTGCATCGCAATTAGTAATTTGTAAAAAGGATTGTCTCCAACAAGTAAATACTTTTCTCCGTACTCAGTTCTCCATTTTAATCAACTTTTCCTCATATGCATAAAAAAGTTTTTTCTCCAAAGAATTTTAGACATGATTGATTTTTAAAACTCCTCTGACTCCCGAATTCTATACTTGTTGCCAATTTAAAAAGTTTATGATAGTTTTCTCATTGGACTGTGATGTTTTTTCATTTGAGAAACTTGGACGCTGCATTATCAACCTCACACAGAAGACAATAGCTCACTCGTTTTATTGTGAATCGCATCAATATGCACAAAACAATGACCAAAAAAGTTAAACACTTTTCTTTATCAGTTTTGACTCATGATTCCAGCTTTGAAATTTCCGTAATATGTCTTAAAATGCAAAGCCGTGAATTTAGCTGGATTCAATGTTATTTTTCGTTCAATTTCGAGCGAGCTAAGCCATCGAGTTAGGATTGTTATACCAAATTTTTTTTTTTCAGATTTCCAAGCTAAAATTTTATTTAACTGTAAAAGAACACTTAGATGCATAATTTAGTGCTTACTTGCAAAAAAAATTTCAAAAAACTTTAAATCTATTGGTTAAAAAACTTTCAATCTATTGGTCAAAAAACTTTCAATCTATTAGTCAAAAAACTTTAAACCTATTGGTCAAAAAATTTTAAAAAATGTTAAAATTTTAAAAAATATTTCATGATCGTCCTTTTTTTGAAGATAAATGTTTCTAATAATGTCTAAGTCACTGGGTTTCTACGCGGTTGTATAGTTTTCAAATCACACCATGCACTAAAACTGACAATATTCTGAAGAAAATAAACTTTTTAATGAATATTGTTAGAGCATTCTGTGCTACTTGCACAGCAACCGGCTATCGATGTTCGATTTTAAATTCGGCGCACAAAATTTTGCCCTGCATAAAGGGAGGATTTAGATCGGGGCAGGGAGGACGCCTCCCCTCAGGGATTCGACCCCCTGCCGACCCAAAGGGTCCCCCTTTTGTACTATTTTCAGATATCCATAATTGTTGACGGACCCGAAAAATTTTCTAAAGGCGCCTTGGTCGTCAATATATACTAACTTTGAAGCAAGAGCGCGCGCCGAAAAAGCCGCGCAGAAATTTTGACACCAAAACAGGGTCTCCTTAGTGCTTTGGCAGAGCTCGGAAAATCAATTTGATCGATCTAAAAAAGGTCAAAACAATTTTCGAAAATTTGTAGAAAATCCCCCCCCCCCCCCCGCCTCGAGAAAATCCTAGATCCGCCCTGCCCTGCATGAGAATTTTTTCACAGCAAGTCATAATTTAAAATGATGTGATGATACACGCCAAAAACTGAAATAGATATAAATTATTTGAATTATTTCTGAACTTTAAATTGAAATGCTATATTTTTGGATAAAATTGAAATGCACTATTTTTGGGAAATTTTAATGCTCGATTTGAAGGATAAATTTCAGTGATTAATTATTTTTCCACAAATTATATAATTAATGATCCGCAAGCTATAACCTATATCATATTATCTAGATCATAATCCTGGATTGTTTTTTTCCACGTTTATATCTCTCTGAAATACTTCTGGGTTACTTCGTGCTGCAAAAATTCATCCAGATGTTCTTTAGGCAGTGAAATGTTCAGTTCAAAATCTCCAACACTTGCGCATGAAGGAAGTATGAAACAGAATCGATCATGCGAGTGGGTGAACCAACCCCACTTAAGAGGACTCCCGCCCCCCAGATCCGCTTTGTCGCCGAGATCCCGAAACATTGACCATTTTACAAATCGCATCGAGTTCGAGTCCCACATTGCTTTGAACTGTGACAAACTGTTCTTACTAATTGCGTCGATTCTCGATTGGCAGAAATCTCGGTGAATATCACCAACTTTATGTGCTATTCTTTCAGCTAAATTGAAAGAATTAGAAGTATCTTTTTCATCGTCAACTTGGGCGACTAAGTTCGCGTTACCGAAATAGTTTGCGGGTACTTCGGGTTTTAAAACAGCGCGAACGTCTTGGAAAATCATGCAGGGGTAATCTGAGTTGTTTTCGTCTGCCTTCATCGTTTTATCAGTTTCTCTGGTACCGATGTATGCTCGATGAATTACACTAATCAAGCAATCAATTTCCGACGGCAACGGATCTTTGCTGCTACCAGGCGACGCTCCGGAAAGAACATCGTTTCTTAGAAGATCCAAATTGCCAGAAGAGAGAGCCAGAGTCACTGTACATGGCGGATGTTCGAGAATTCCATGAACGTATGCCATTAGTACAGAGTTGAACTCCTCCTCAGAGCCGAAATGAACAATTTCAGGGTGAATTTGGGTTGCATTCTGGACATCGTTTGATGGTTTTATGTAGGCAGTCCGTTCACACTGTACAACCTAGAGAGAAGTAATGACGTAATACATAGAGCTTATTCTATTAAAAAATGAAATGGTTAGTTTTAAAAAAAAAATGCAGAAAATCGAATGTATCGAATCAAGCAGGAAACTTTGAAATCGCCATTTTTTAGTAACATTAAAACATTGATTAGTCAGAAACGCTACGAGTTTGAAAACGAGTTTGAAAATTAAAAAACTGGTCCAATTTTTTCAAGGGGTGATTCAGCATGATATTTTAAATTAGCTGCACCTGATCCAATTTGTAAGCGTTCTCTCGGACTTGTGAACAGAAATCGGACACTAGCATTACATACGAGCTGATGTCACACAAACTGTGAGGCAGCCCTATGTTCATCATCATTCCAGATCCACCTGCCAGTTCCTGGACATTCAGAACCATCAACAACTCATGAGGAATCATTAGGTTATCATGCAGAAAGTGAGTGCAGCATAGATCGTAATTGAAAGACGCTGATTTGAGTTCGTCGATCGATATTTTTGATTCGTCCAAATAATTTACGAGAGCTCCTTCGTTTGTCAATCGCACACTTTTGCTCTCCTTGTCGAGTCTAAAACAGCCCATAGAATCTCACAGATGGTATTTTAGTCCCTCCAATTCATACTCTAATACCAATCATTCACTTTTTGAAGCTGCTATGGTATATATTACAGTCCTTTCACTCATGACTCTATCGACAGTTTAAAATTTCCAACATTTTTTGCAAGTTCGAGAATTTTCCGATGAATTTAGAGTTCATTAGAAATTGAGGTCATTAGTGCGAGAATTAAATTGAGATTTCATTAGTGGCAGAGTTCATTACTACCGAACAGCCATCGTTCGGTTGTAACAAGTTACCCGCTCTAGAGCTTCACGGAAGCGAATCGTTTATAATGGATTATATCGGCAAAAAACCTGAAACCGTGTAATCGCTTTTCATGACCCATCTAACCATGAAAATTGATTTCATGGAGATTATAATCGATTAATTTCAACATGCAAAAATCCATTATAATCCTTATGATCGATTGTAATCCATTATCGTTTTCAATATAATTGAATAAATGTTGTTCATAAAGTCATGAAAATCGATTATTTTTGCAAATGTCTTGTTTGCTCAATTTTTTGCAGCGTTCTGCAAAACTTGAACCCGAACAAACATCTTCAATTTAGTCTAAAACGTCCCCCCCCCGCCGAAGTTTGAAAACAGCCCCTAATTGCACACCCCAACCCTTCCAACCTCCAGACCCCCCCTCCCCCCCCCCCCCCCCCCCCCACACACACACACACACACACACACACACACACACGTGCGTGCCCCCCCCCCTAAACACCCGCTTCCACCTTCTCTCGAACTCCATTTCTCACCCTTTTCAATTTTATGCCCTGCACAACCTCCAAGATTTTATTTCAACAAATACCAAACTTCTCCCCCGGAGTTGGTTACCGTGGGGGTTAAACTGTGGGGGGGGGGATTGGATAAGAGAAGTTTGGACATCACTTTCAGTAACCAACCCCCTGGGGTTTTTGGTCTGAAAGAAAGCAAAACATAAGATGGGGGATAAGATGGGGGATATCTAAAATTGAGAGGTGAGGGTGCAACAAAATTTCAACAAAAAACATTTGAAAAACTTGAGAATCTAAAAAATTGTAAGAGAAAAACTCCGAAGAAAAAAATTCAAAAAAATAACAATTAACATTTTTCTCAGCCAAAGTAAATCTTGTTTTTGCAATTTTTGAAAAAAAACACGTATTGAGCCAAAAGCAACAGTCAATTTGTGAAACTATGGCATTCTGTATGAAAATTCCAGACAAAATTTTATAAAATGGTTCTCATAATCCATTAAAACCGTGATCCCTTTTAAATCCAATTTAATCGAAAATATTTGGGTGTTTGTTTAAAATCAAACTTTGGGTGTTTGTTCATAAATCAAACTTGAAAATCGGTCGGTTGACCTTGCAAATGTTCTAAGCGTTTTTTTTCTCGCGTGTTTCGAAACGACAAAGAAAAGATCAAACAATAAAAAATTTGAATGACAAAACTACGAATCTAACCCCTCAAATTGAATCAAGCCTCAAATAAATTCAAAACTACGGCAAATTCGGAAACCTTGATAAATTGATGAGCCCTGATTGTTACCAAAAATTCTCAGATAAATTCCCACGCTGAGTAATTATTTCAGACGTTTAAAACAAGCGATTCTTTCTTGATTTTTTTTGTTATCAATTTGAGTATTTGTTATTATGATGGAAACCGACAGTGGAACTCAGCTTCAGGTTTCTGCAACCCAAGAGGTATCCGAGATAAAAAAAGTGAGTAATATGGAAACGGAACTGTAATTTTTGCGGGAAAAAGTTGAAAAACAAGAATGTGAAGTTACGGGTCTTAAACTTAAGCAGTTAAACATAGATACCAGGCTGCGAGCTCAGGAAAGGTATACTAGCAAAGATAGTGTGCTTGTATGGAATCCGCCGTTCGATGCAAGGGCAGTAGATGACGTTACGGATGCGATAATTGTTTTTTTCAGGACAATTCCGAAAATTAACATTTCTCGTGGGGGAATTAAAGCTTGTCACATGTATATGGAAAATTACGGAAATAATATGCCCACTATCATTTGCAAGTTTGTATACTTGGACAATAAGCCGGCTGTATACAAGGCCAGGAGGAATCTGAAATATCAGAAAAACATTTTAAACAAGCGTAACATATATATTACAGAACGTCTTCCTGAACAAGAGGCAATAATTAAGAAAGCGGCCAATATTATGGACTTAATAACTACCACTCATAACTGCATCGTATCAGTGCTTGTCCATGATGAAAAGCGTCGGTGGGAAACAAAGTTTATGCGAGTTGACGCAGTTGATGAATTGCAAACGACTAATGCTGTTAAGCGAAAAAAAAACGAATCTACACCGACTCTCGTCATGACAACAATGAAGGGGAATCCCCTGCAAACAAAAAACCAACTCATTGATTGGATTTTGAACGGATAATGTGTGCCGCCTGTTAAGCTTCGACAGAAAAACACAAAATGAATTGAGTTAAACTGTAAAGCATATGAACTGCTATTGTAGCCCAAAGTGGTTATGTTTGTGATAAAACATGTTGAATTATTTTCTGTTATTATTCCCCTTAGGCGGACAACAAAATAGCAAAAATACTAGTGAAAAAAATCGATTTAAGTTTTCTTCTATTTTTTTTATCTTATATATTTTTTCTTTCTTAAATACATTTTTTTGCGTTTCGTTTTCATATTTTTCTTAACTTAGGAATTATCAGCAAACAAATAAATGAATATTCTCTAACAAGACTATAGGTCAGTTTGCGTGATTTCCGCACTGCTGGTCTAAGACCTAATAAAGAAGAACAGTCCAAGTAGTCTTCCTTTAAAAAAAGAAAAACCAATTATAAGTTGGTGCGATTTCCGCGCTGCTTTAAAGTTATTTAAACTAAATTATGTTTCATTTTCTTTCAAAACAAAACTAGAATAAAACCAAAATTAATTTTATCCAGCTTTTTTAGTTCCCAGAACTTGCGTGATTTCCTCGCTGCTCTTGCGATCTTCAATTGTAAATGCTGAAAACGAGGAAAACAATGAAAATAAAATGGAAAAGTTCGGGAAAAAGCAAAATGATGTAAGCTGAAAAAGGAAAAGAAGCAGGCGAGGGATTGGAGGGGAAATTAAAGAATCTTATACGGCTATCAAAATTGAAAGCTAGCAATATTCGTATTTTTGCGAAGAAAAAAAATATTCTAGACTAGGAGGAGAAACTACCCAGAGTTTGTGCAATTTCCGCACTGCCCTGGGTGGCTTCTGATTTCTGACAACTCATTGATCTTCACAAATTAGTTAAATTTTCAACTAGTTAACTAGTTAGGAAACCACGCGAGAATTATATAGTACACAGAAGATATGGTTAACAGAGACATGGAGGAAACAAATTCTAAAACTTTTTCAGTGTTTTTACAAAACATCAGATCACTGCTCCGAAACTTTAACGAATTTGAATTAGAAATAGAACAGTTGGCCCAACGTCCAGATATCATTTGTTCAACTGAAACCTGGCTCAAAAATATTTCTGACAAGGATGTTTTCCAAATTCAAGGATACGAACCTCTCTATAATTGCACTAGAATTAAACGAGGAGGAGGTATTGGCATCTATGTTAACACTGGGTCAGATCATAGGATAATAAAACAAAAAAAAAGATAACAATATCCAAATCTTGTCAGTTCTCATAAAAACACAATTAAATCAAAAAATTGTAGTAACCTGTGTTTAAATTACACCAATCTCTCTAAACAACGCTACCTTCGAAAGCCAGCAAAATTATTTGGATGGATTAACGCTAGGGCCTGAAACTGATCACATAATTTGTGGTGATTGCAACGTAAATTTTCTGTTAAACTCGACAAAGCGGAAAAAAATTGAGGATATTATGATAGGAAAGGGCATGTTACAAAACAAAATGAGCTGCCTCCCAACAAGAGTGACAGAAACAAGTAGCACTTTGATTGACTTTTTTTTCTGTACATCAAGTTTCTCAACCAAAGCCATCAAAAATTCAGTGTCTGATCATTTTGGTGTTCAGTTTCTTTCAAATTTTCTGAAAAAGGACGTTGGACGTTTTTACTGAAAAAACTTTTGCTAGAAACTGGAACAAGTTAAAAAAAAGGGATATAAGTGAAAAGTTAAGTTTTTATTTGTAACATGAGATTGGAAAATGTATGCAGTTATGGAATCCCGAAGACCCTCAAATGTCTTCTAGGATTTAAGAAAAAAAAAATTCGATCCTTATGAAGGCAGTTGATACTTTTTTTCCAAAGCGTGTACTAGTACAATCAGAAAGACATCCATGGATTGACAATAAAGTAAAAAATGCAGCAGCAAAAAAGCGACGGTTACGACAAGAGTTTTTGAATATTAAAACAACGGATGCCCGGAATAAATATAGTTCCCAAAATAAAATTGTCAAAAACGTAATCATCTGTAAAAAACAAAAATACTATCAAAATGAACTAATGCTTGAGTCTAAATGTAACACGAAAACTTTTTTCGAAACTTTTAAGGAAATGAGTGGTAAAGAGTAAAAATCTAAATCTTTAAATCCATCTAACGGGGACGCCGAGCATTTTAACGAATATTTCGCAAATATTGACGCCAGACTTACACAGAGCAAACCAAACTGCATGGAAAAAAAAATTTATACGTCAACAGCAATCGCTGTTTTTGAAAAAATTGATTTAATTGAAGTCATTGAAGTCATCGAAAGTTTTAAAAATAAATATTGTACAGATTGCTATGATATCAACACTGTTCTCGTCAAGCATTTAAAAAGTATACTAGCAGGCCCTTTAACTGAAAGTTTTAATGACTGCCTAACCTCAGGAATCTATCCAAATTGTTTAAAAATTGCATAAATTGTACCAATTTTCAAGGAGGGAGACATCGATGACCCCCAGACTATAGACCAATTTCGCTTGTTCCAGTTTTGGGCAAAATTTTTGAGCGTATAATTTTTAAACGAGCCCAATCATATGTAGACAAGTTTAATATCATCCGA